ATCTTTTCCATCCTTTTTCCTAACTGTAATTCCTTAATTCAGATGGCAGCTAAGATCATTATGTAGGTTTCAAATTCAAGCTTGTCCTGCGGCTAAACTATCATCTGAAGCCAGATAGTGATTGACTCCATTCAAGGAAAGACTATCAGGTTTGGTTTTTTTTCACAGTTAAGAAATAAGTGGGCAGTTTTTTTTTTTTTTACAGACAGCTTTTGAGGGAAATACTGCCACAAGCAATGAACTTGAAGATCTGTATGTTCTGCTGCTTCCTCTTCTTCTGCCCTTCACCTGCCAGTTCAGGCATTTTCTCTGTGTCCATGTATTTAATCATGGTGCCCTTAGGTTTCACCTGGCATTCTACCAATTTTCCTGTCTCTCCTAGTACTAGACTGCCCTGAGGTTGTTTAACGTGAGACAGGAGCATTCAACCCAAAATGGACAAGGTACATTTTGCTGCATCCTGTGTTATTATCAAGCAAAAAGGTCACGGCAGCCGAAGCCGTGAGATTGTGTTTGTAACAAATGACTGTATTTATAGGCACTTAGCAGCAAGGTGTCTGAGCATGTCACAGATGAAGTGCCATGAGAATGTAAAAATACCTGTGCAAGGGATTAGCAGATTACTACAATTAGGCTTCTAATGTCTCTGTAAGGAGGAGATGTGCCTCGACTGTTACTTTGCAGGTGGAGTAAAAGGACACATACAGACTAGCTGACATGACCAGTTTCACACAGCAAGTCTTTAGCAGAGAAAGAAACAGGATTGAAATTACCTAATTCCATTAACAACACTCTTCCCAATGGGTAATAACTTTCTGGATTTTTCACTCTACGGTGCTCTGTTGAAGTTCCAGACGTAGCAGAAGGATAAACCCTATCTAACTATACACATCTATATACCAACAAAAGATGGAAGTGGTAAGTTCAAAGAGATGAAGAGATTTATAGTGGCAAATTAAAATATTCATTATGAATAACTTGGCTGAAGATGGCTAAGTAGTCATGATAACCATCACCACACATCTGAAAAGTTTCAAGCACAAAGAGTTATGGTGGAAATATTTTGGGGAGCTGCAGAAATTTGTTGGGGTGAGATTTCCTATAGCACCTATTCTCAGTCAAGGACAAAATAAACATTTCTTGCAGCAAAAGAGGGTTTGGAATTTTCCTTTCCCAATGAAAAATGTTTAGAAGAAGCAGTATTTTTGGCTATTTCCTAGTGCCAAGCTCAATGTCAGCAGAAAACCTCTATGAATAAGAAGTATTGGAAGGGCCAATGTCTAAGTTATGAGACATTGGATCAGAGTCAATGTTAAAGACAAATCTTTAATGTGCTCCCATAATGTGAAATAGCTTTTGGGGAATTTACTTTTCTGGCTTCTGTTCTAAAGCTGGTTTTGTGCGTTTGAATTTTGTTGACAGCCTGTCAAACTTTCTTTACATCTGAGCAATGGGAATGTAAAGGCATCAATGCACCCCTCTCTGTTTTGCCACTGTGGCCAAGATCTTCCCAGGAATATTTAATTTAATTTTCTAGGGAGTAAAGAGTGAATTCACAAAGCGATGTAAAATTGTCTGATATACCATCTGGCATCCTAGATAGCATTTGTGCTATGATTTGGTCTTTCAGGGGAGCTCTTATAGACAAAATAAATTAAAAAAGAAAGGAAAAGTCTAATTAAAGAAGAGGAAAAAGACTGATTTTCATTGTAAAACAAGAATTCATACAGCCTCATGCAAAAGTAGTGAAGGAAGCAGAAAAGCCAGAAAACAGAAGCAATAGGTGGAATTTGTTAATAATTCAATGGGAAAATGAGGCTCCGGCTACGAGAAATTCAATTTTGTTCAACTGCAGAAAACACTCTGAACTGGCAGGCCTCGACTGATGGAATAAATCTCTTCTATTAACATGAGAGATAATTTTATGGAAATACGTTGGGAGACCTTCTAGCGGAGCTGAGCATCTTAGCATTACCACTTAACTTGTTTGTAGCATAATTGCATTTAGCCCAAGGTCTTCTGAAGGAAATGGCTGACTAAATTAGCATTAACCGGGGTCCTGGGGGGCTCCGTGTGTTGTGGGTAGTCGATCTTGCCTCCAGAAAGGACATGGTAACACTGGAGAAGCCAGCTGCTTCCAATGCACTGTATTAACTGTTTTTTCCCAAGTGGGGCACTTTTTGTCACTGAGAGGAGGAGAAGATTTGAGACTCTAATCAAGCAGAATCTGGGCTTTGGTTTTCCTCCAGTTTGCCTCCTTCCTGCTTTTAACTGAATTCAGATTTGTGCGTATTGCTCCAGCTTCTTTTTATCACTGTGGTTTGGGGAAGATGTCTCCTTTGTGGGAACATCTTTCCTTACAGCCTGTAAATAAAGCTATTGTCATCCTTGGGAGCATGGTGGATGCAGCTGTGCTTGCTGAGGAGCTGCTTCTCTGAGAGGAGATGCCAGCGTCATCCAATTTAGTCATCACATAGATGTGCTAATGGAGTTGGAGGGCAGTGCTGTGAAGCATCATCTAGCATGGGAGCTGAGTCTCTTCCTGGAAGCTGGAAGTTAAAATGAGTTTGTTACAAGTGCCAAGGCTAGAGGAAGCTCTTTCTTTGTCCATGTTGTGCTGGTGCTTGTTCTTGTAGAAATAGCTGTCAGGGATATGTAATGGACCAGATGCCTGCTGATAATAAAGCACACGCCCACATTAACATCAGCTGAGGATCTAGGCCAATGTGCTTGCAATATTACATAGAAGTCTGCAACTGCTTGGATGCATGCTTTGTGTAGGACAGCAGGAGAGACATCTGTGACATGTTGTGTTTTTTTCCTTTGCTTCCTTTTTAACTCTTGAAAGCATACAACAACAGCTGGAAGTGTGGTTTTGGGGGTCACAAAATTGTGTGATCTTCTAAAACATTCATATTCCCACTGTTGGCTTGAATATGCTGTTAAGTAATTCAGAATACCAAGTCCGTCAAGCTCAGGTCTTAGTCTTCAAGCAACAATGTGTGGTGATTCCTTTCCCAAAATGTGCAGCCATTTGATGGGAAACTCAGAGAAGGCAGTTTCAAACCCTTCACCAAGTCTCTGTAAAGGATGGAAAAGGAGATGGGACAGAGTGGAGGGGATCATGGAAAAATCTGGGAAGAGAAGGCCTCGCTTCTGCTCTTAGCTCAGATGTCACAGACACATTCTCTTTGTGCAAAAATGGCACTACACTTGGTGACCTGCTGACTTCAGTGGGGTTATTCCAAGCATTGACATTTTTCCAAACATATTCCATGGCATTGTGATCCTTTGGGTTATGCTTTGCCTGTGTTGCCTGTCTTAGGGAGTGGTGTGCATAATACTGTACTGGAATAGTATTTTAAATGTGTTGTACATCGAAGCTGAGTTAGAACCTTCAATGGGAGAAGCAATAATAATAGTTAATAAGGATATTAACACCAAACTGGGTCCATGTCTTTTCCTATGTGACTCCTAACAAGTCAGTGATGATATATCAGAGAAAACTCAGTGACAGAAACATCATTTCCTTTATCTCTTTTTCCTGTGGCCTGTTCCAAGATTGCATGTGAATCCAGTCACATTTTAGGTTGCTAACACATTCTGGTAACACTTCAAGAATTTTTGTTAATGTTGGAGCTCTCCATTTAGATCAATAGGAGGTTTTTTTTAAGACTCCCTGACAAATGATCTGTTTTCTATACTGTGGAATATCCAAATAGTGCAGCTTTTGTTCAATAGAAATTATACTTTATCTCCTTGTGTTATACAATATCAGACTTTTAGGTGGATTGTGAAAAGGCAACTTGATCTTTTCTTGATCCGTGTTTATGAAATAATTTTTGCAAAGCATTGCAGGTGTCATCCATTGCCTCAGTGAACCACTAAAGCAACATTTCTCAGTGAAGTGGGTGGATAGCAAGTGTGGGTTGATTTACTCTAGCTGAGAACTGGTCCTGCACCTGTAGAAACACAGGCTTTCAATCTCTGCTCTCCAGCAGTTAGGAAAATCACTCACTGGGTCATGTTAGCATGCTGACACCACAATTTGCTGTTGCTGCTCAGAAAAATAGTCACCTTCAGCCAAAAATTGGGTTCAGACACTTTCACGGACATGTGATGCTTTGTCTTTATAGGAAGCTCCTAAGGTAGCCATGTAGTAATGACTTAGGTGTCTGGAAACAGACTTCGGAATATGAACCTAGAAAATCTGTCTTGGGCTTTACTGCAGATTTTCTGACTGACCTTGGACAACTGAAAATCACTCTGTGCTTTATTTCCTCTCTCTGTAAAACACCTATCTTCTTGTATTAATCAATGTTTGTAAAGAGCCTTGAAATCCTTAGATAAAAGAGGACATTACAGAAAATAGAGTAATTGGAATAGATGTAACCTATAAAATAGTGCAATCTTCCAAACTTGGAAAGAAAAAGACAGGAAGAAAAAAACCCATCCTCTTAATGTGCTTGGTTCCCCAAGTAGGTTGTAGGGAAGCTATGTGAACCTAGCAAATTATCTGTTGTGATTTTCCCAAATGTGGAAGAAATGAACTGTCAAGCCTTGTCAGGGTGTTCCTGTGGCTTTTGTGCCTTAAATATACCCGTGGTAGGTATTTGTTCTCTTTGATTTTAAAATGTGCTTTGCTTTCAGTTAGAGCAATATTGTTGAGACACCGTGGAACTTGGTTATAGGAAATCCCAGTGTGATGTTGTAAATCCTACAGGACTCCAACATTAATGAAGTATATACAACAGCAGCTGCTTTTCAAGAGTAGGATAAAGGTAAATCTAATATACTTACACAACTCCTGAGAAAGTCATCAAGAACAGCATTCCACCATCAAGACACATGACGTGGTGCCAGCTTCCCCAGATATAAGGGCCTGGGCTTTCTAATCATAAGAATTTTGGAATTTCCAGCCACAGAAGTAGAAGAAAAACTTAAGTTTGTCAAATGTCTTATTTCTTATAATTTTTCTCCTTCTTGCAGACATGCATGTGTGATTCGAGGCCAAGTGATGACAGCAGATGGGACCCCTCTCGTTGGAGTGAACATCAGCTTTGTCAACAATCCTCTTTTTGGATACACAATCAGCAGACAAGATGGCAGGTAGGACACCTTTATGTGATCAAGCAGCAGTTACAGCCTTATCACCATCAATGCTATAGAGAAACTCATCCCAAGAGCACGTTTATTGTTGATGCATTGTGAAGATGTTGATGCATTATTGTTAGTTGTTTTGGAGCTATGTCTGGCTGGTGACTGGTCACCAAGGGTGTTCCTCAGGGTTCAATTCTAGGACCAGTTCTGTTCAATATATTTATCCACATATTGGATGCAGGAGTTGAGTGCACCATTAACAAGTTGGCTGATGATACCAAACTGGGATGTGCCGTTGACTCACTTAGGGGACTATTCTATTCTATTCTATTCTATTCTATTCTATTCTATTCTATTCTATTCTATTCTATTCTATTCTGTATTAACCTTGTGATATCACCTAGACTCTTTAGCCAACAGTTGGGCAGTGCAGGTAAAGAAAAGATGCCTCCTGCTCTCAACAGCTCTGTGCTTGCTAATTCATTTTGAAACACTTAGGAAGAAGTCATTAAGATTACAGTTGTGTTTGAGGCAAGTGCTTAAAATCCAAGCAATCATGCTCAACCAAAACAAAAGCATTGCAAATTGGGAAAGCCTTTCTTATCTTTTGTCTGTCAGTGCTAATTGTCTCCCTTTCTTTTAAGAGCAAAACTGAAACATAAGGGTTTCCAGCTGCACATGCTCTATGTGTTGACTACTAACCACTAACACTTGGGAGAGGATTTATAGATTTTAGCACCTCACCAATCCACGACTTTCATTAAGCAGTGCTGCAAACCCACTTCTACTGGCACTTCAAGACAGGGATGTTCCTTCCACACCGCATCCTTCCCAACCTCCATCTGAACAGAGGTTCCCAGGTAGAAAGCAAAGCAGCTGGAACATCAGTATGCTCCAGCATTCTTCAGTGGACTGCTGGTTTCTCAGGGCTGGCTGCCAGCCTCCAGAACTTAAATTAGTTTCAAGGAGCTCAGCATTGCAGTTTGCTGACTCAGTCCCCAGCAGATACTCAGCTCCAAATGATAAAAGTGACAGAGATCAGCTGTTTCAGAGCAGGGAATCTGTGTCCAAGTGGATCCTGAAGCTGGGATTCCTGTTGGCAGCTGCTGGTGGTCAGTCTGACCCTGGACTGTGTGGTGTCAGCTCTTCTGATTTCGCATTCTTCACCTTCCTCTCAGATCAATCTACTTCTACAGAAACCTTGTGCACATCTAGTGCACGACCAACTTTCAGCAAATTATCCAGTTGCAGTACTGAGTCTCTGGAATCATAAAAATACCTTCCAAAATTGGCTGAGGAATACAGGCAGGTATTTTCTCAAATGAACAGGCACAGCAGTGCATCTGTGTGCTCTGGCAGTCATAGATGGACACAAGAAAACCCTTCTCTTAAAGAACACCAAAATCCAGCGACTTCCTCCATGGTGAAGTCTTCTAAAAATTACCTTGAAAAATTTAAGAGCATTCAGACTAAAATTGTCAGGGCAGAAAATGATATCAGAGATCCCTTAGTTCTAATCCTAGCTTCGCTGCTAATTTAGTGGGTAGCATTAGATGGATCTCTTAACCTTCCTCGGCCAGCCAACCAGCCTGTGAAAGGGAGATAACATTTACTTGTCTTCCTTACTGATTGTTATAGCATTTATTAAATACTATTTGGAAAGCACTTTCAAAATCATGCAAATTATTGCTATTACAGTGTCTATTATCTGTTTGGATGGTTTTCAGTAGTTTTCTGAAAAGAGCATGGCTCTTCTCATCAGCTTTTTCTAAGGGAAGTTTTCATGTGAGTGAGTCTCTTTATTTAAAGAAGTTGTTCTTAAGCAAGAAGTAGTTTCTCATGAACTATAGTAGTAAAATGCTTGTATTCCCAGTCCATAGCAGTGCTCAGTCCTATGGGGTCATCTGGACCATTTTCAGTGTCATTCTGGTTTGGAGGTAAAATGGGAGCACATATGCAAGTTCCAGGGGTTATGAGATAACTGCATAAAACTCACAGGTTTTATTATTGGGCATACTCACCGCAGGAACATCTCTTCTTCAAAACATGCACTGAGTTGTTTTAAGTTGATTTAGCAAATCAGTTTACTGATAGCAGGGCAATAACTGCGGGTTTAAAGTAAAAGAGTTTAAAGGCAGAATTGCATCAGTTTAGCTGGATGGGTTCCTAAACTGATTTTGTTGCTTCAGGATTGTTTTTTGGGCTTTTTTTTTTTTTTTTCACATGACCATGTTTCCAAATGAAGATCATAAGTAAAATTTCAGTTTGAAAATTACAAGGAGCTGAATTTTTCACCCCTGTAAGTGGTTTCAGCAGAATCCAGGTCTGTCCAAGTAGGTTTCACTTCTGTCACAGTACACAGATACAGTCTCTAATAGCAAAAACCTGGTCCTTTTTAAGCCACATTACTTAGTCTGAGCAAAAATTTACTGACTTCAAGGCTTGCCTGTGTTTTCTAGCCTAATTTTTGGGACACAGACTTTTTTCAGATAACAAGGCACAAAGATGAAATGACACCTCTCAAATGTTTCTGTTGTATGCATTTCTCTTTAAAGCAAAGTTGGTAGATAGATCAAAGTATCAGTACTGGATTATAAACCACATTTTAAAGCTTTTAATTTGATTAAACTGGTAGTTTATTAAGACTCCAAGTCCTCAGCATCTCGTGGTGATATGCACAGTGTTAATAAAACAGCAGGAAAGTCTTCAGAGTTTTTCAGTGTCACCACATTCAGCAATTTTGGCATGGCTCTCTCAGAAAGACCAACTACATGGATTTCCAGAGCAAAGAGATGAGAAAGAGTTACACTTTTCTGTGGTTTTTTTTTTGTTTTTTTGAGCCAGCTTTGTGGATAAGTAGAGAATTTCATCCTGTGGCCTGCCTCTCCAGAGCCTTTTAAGAAAAACAGAACAATATGACTGTACAACAGGCACAATTATTTTCAAAGTGATAAAAAAGGCATCAGAGATCAGCAGCAAAAAGAGAAATAAAATTTTCTCATTCCCTCAATCCCAAGATGCTTTTGCTCATGTTTAATTTAATTTCACTACGGGAAGCTTGGAGGAAGGTGTGTTCAGTTTGGGTTTTTCTATTTGGTTTTGATTTTTGCTTTTGTTCAGTTCATCAAGGTAACTTCAAACCTGTATCCTGTGACTGTGGGAAAACTGGCTCATTAGCAACAGAGCTTGCTAAAAATTACTGCCTGTCTCTGTTTTCACAGCTGCTGGAACCTGCCATGGAGGTGGTGCTTTCCCTTCTGCATCCTGGTTTAGGGATGCAGGAGAGGCAAGGATGCTGCTCCCCAGCAGGTTTCCAACCCTGACCCAGGCTCAGTGAAGCCACAAACCACTCACAAAGGAGTGAAGTGGAGGTGTTTCCAAATAAAAACCCTTCCTACTTGCCTAAAAACTCGTTGAGCATCATTTGGAATGTTTGTTTCTTTCCTCCCATTGCCCCTTTCGGTGCTGGGATTCATGCAGAGCAAGCTTCTCCCTCTTAGCTAAAGGGCTTGCCAAATGCTAATTGACTGTTAAAAATGTTCTCATCAAAGTACAAATGCTGTGCAGCTTTGCTGGCAAGGACCGGCAACGTACTCGTCAGGCTGCTGCAAGCCAAGCTCTGTAGGTCTGGGAAGCTGATGCCCCCACTTGAGTGGTAGAGTAAACACATCTTTAGCTTTATAACATGCTTTCCACTCCTTCCCATGGACTGAATTTAGTATTTTTGCCTGAATCACTTTCTTTTCATAATTATATTTACTAAACGACACCTCAATCTGTCTGCCATAAAAATAAAAAAAAAAGCTTCTGCTGAATGGTTGCTTGCCAAAGATTGAGTTATTTTTTTTTTAGAAATAGTCCCATTGTTGCTCCTCTGGGATTTTTGCAGCTAATCTGAAAGCCTGAGAATTACTTTTAAAAATAATTTGAAATACTTTTTTCAGCTTCTTTCTGATCTCGTAATTATGAGGTGCATCAAGTCTGGCTTTGGGCTGTCAGAGTGCTTTCAGAACCTAGTTCTCATGCAGGGAGAAGTACCTAAGCACATGGTTCTTCACCAGACCAGCAGCTCCACTGAAGCCAACAAGCCTATTAAAATCTGTGTGAGTCTGTTATCCACTAGCACCAAGCATTGAAAGTGAGAAGCAGGGATGAGAAAACTTTCTTTGCCAGAAACACACATTTGGCATTGCAGCTAAATAGATGCCGAGTTAAAAAAAAAACAAAAGCAACAAAAGTGAGAGGTCTTCAAATTGAATTGCAATGCTTTCGTTTCTCAGTTAACACCTCTTTTTTGAGTCTATACATAGCAGATACATCCCATGGTACTTCATAAAACCTCCGTCTCTGACAAGATATGAAGTTTAAATACAAAATGAAGAAAAACTCCAAAACTCTCTCCCAACATCTTTACAACTAAGGGATGAGTATTTTCCTGATTGAGGTAACGGCCTTTCACAGGGCTCTGGAGGGCTGTCTGCTAGCCCAAAGTAATGTTACCCAACACTAACACAGGCAGAAAAGCCACTTGGCTGGAGGTAGCATAGGGTAAAGTTGCAACCACAGGCAGTAAGTTATCTGCCCTGCTCTACATGATTAAGAGTCAAACAAGATGATGTGCTGAGAGCTGTGGTACAGAGACTGCCTGCACGGTGCTCAGCTCTTCCCCATGCCTAGTATACTGAGCTCATGGCTGGGCTCCACATGTTCCCTGGGTTGCATTAGGTCCTAGTTAGGTTAGCAGTGATGCCAGGACGATTTATATGGTGGTGTGTCAGAGAAACCACTTTCCAAACATTTTACTTCATCATGTGAATTGATCCAATCTGTGACTGTATTTGGATGATAAATACTTAAATATATGAGTACGTATGGTCAAATAACACTAGAAAAGCACTAAAAAAGTTAGAAGTTTGTCTCAAAAACAGAAACGGGAGTGTTTTTAATATGCAAGACAACATGGAAAGAAGCTGAGTTTGTAATCCTGCCTCTGCTGCTTGCTCTTACTCAGATAAAGCCTCTTTGGGCTCTAGGTTTTAGACTTGTAAAATGTGCCTGATGATATTTCTTGCAATTATTTTTCTGGGTGTCCTTGCTAGAGAATTGTTACAAACAGATGGGGTGGAGCTTGCACTAACTTTGTGTTTCATCTCTTACAACAGCTTTGATCTCGTTACCATTGGTGGGATCTCCATTATCCTGCACTTTGAACGGGCTCCCTTCATCACCCAGGAGCATACATTGTGGCTGCCATGGGATCGCTTCTTTGTGATGGAAACCATCGTCATGAGGCATGAAGAGAATGAGATCCCAAGCTGTGACCTCAGTAACTTTGCCCGGCCGAACCCTGTGGTTTCTCCATCTCCTCTGACAGCTTTTGCAAGTTCCTGCTCAGAAAAGGGTCCCATTGTTCCTGAAATCCAGGTATGAACCATCTGAGCTGAGGAGAAAAATTTCATAGAATTATAGTTTGGTTTGGGTTGGAAGGGTCCTTAGAGATCATCTAGTTCCAACCCCCTTGCCATAGGCAGGGACACCTTTTACTAGATCATGTTGCTCAAAGTTCCATCCAGCCTGGCCTTGAACACTTCCAGGGATGGAGCATCCACAGCCTCTCTGAGCAGCCTGTTCCAGTGTCTCACCACCCTGACAGTAAAGATTTTCTTCCTAATATCTAATCTGAATCTACCTGCTCTCAGTTTGAATGCATTACCCCTCATCGTATCTCTGCACTACTGGATAACAAGTCCCTCCGCCCCTTACATGTAGGCCCCTTTAAGTGCTGGAAGGTGGCTATAAGGTCTTCCTGAAGCCCTCTCTTCTCCACACTGAACAACCCCAGTTCTCTCAGCCTGGCCTCGTATAGGGGGTGCTCCTCCTAATCCAGAATTTCTCTGTGCTTCTTTTGCCTGCTTTGAGACCCATGAATGCAACTATGCTTCCGTGTCTTTCTCTAGTCCCCTGCTTTCCTAAAAAGAAGCATTCCCCATTTGTTGCACCATTTTTCAGATGTTTGCAGGAGCACTTACACACAAGGACACACTTCACCAGAAGGTTTGTTTTCCCTTACCACTGAGAGGTGGAGGCAAAAGTACTTATGGCCACAGCAAAAACCTATGTTGGCTCTACTTTGCTTTCACCTCTCATCTACAGAAGGTGGGCTGGGACCCTCGTGTGACCCACAGCCAGCATTCAGCATGCCCAGCATGAGGCTGGTGGACCACTCACACTCTAATGCCTTTCTTCTGTTCAGGGGCAAGTTTCACCCACTGAGTATTACAGACCTCAGTGGGGGAGTATTGAGTGTGAGCTTTCTCAGGGTTTAGAGGCATAACCCCCACTCTGCAAAGCTGCTGAGATGTGTAGTCAGCCAGCAGGCAAACAGCCAGCCCGAGGAGCACCTGACTTTTAGTGCATTTCATGACATTTGCAACAGAAGAGCAAAGAAAGAGGGTTACTTTTGATTGTTCATCCCCATTTTTATTTTCTAAGGATGTGTGAGTCAAATAAAGTAGTTTAACAACCTGCTGTGGATTCAAAATATTTTGCCAAATGGAAAGATGGTCTTTCAACTGAATTGTCCAAACAATAGAATTATCCATCTTCCTTAAAAATGCTCACTGTGTTGAAATCTAGACATGTAGCAGCATTCAAGCTTTCTTCTCTTGGGCCTGTTCCTTGGGTTTTAGGTGCCAGGATTCCACATGTCCTGGGTATTGCTTTTAATCACCAACAGTAGCCTGCTAAGGTAGAAACAACAAAAACTGTAGTGACAAATTGTGTGCCTCCTGCTTGACTCCACTGGGTTGCAGTAGCATTAATGGGGAAAGAAGTCACTGTAGACCTGATTTTAATACATCAGGTGCTGAACCCAGAAACAGATAAAGTTAGTGGTCTCTCTACCTCTTTGGTCCCTGTGGACCAACTCCTGATATCCTTCCTCACACTGATTTCCAATTACAGCTTCTGGGTTTATCCCACCCTAAGTACTAATGAAGTCCCATCTCTTGTGAAACCCCTCAGAATGCAAATTCTTGGTGTAATTTTCACATCTCTTTTTTTCCCGAACCAACAAACATCATGAAAGGTCATGTTCAGTGCTGGCTGGGGAAGAAGCAAATATCTAATACAGTGCAGCTATAGTCATAACCTCTCACATTATTTGGTAGGATACTCATTAACTTGTGTAAATTATATCTATTGAACTAAAACATTCTAAAACTCTTCAATAAGAGTGTCTACGAGAGACAGACACTACAGAGAGTGTCTCTGTCTACGACTGTGAAAGCAGCCAGCAATATGGATCATAAGCAATGGTTTGATACAGTTTGTTGACTTACATAGAATCATAGAATGTTAGGGTTTAGAATGGAAGGGACCTTTAAAGGTCATTTGGTCCAAGCCCGCTACACTGAGCAGGGACATCCCCAACTAGAGCAGGTTGCTCAGAGCCCCAGACAACCTGACCTGGAATGGTTCCAGGGATGGGGCAGTGACCACTTCTCTGGACAACCTGTTCCAATGTTTCACCACTCTCATTGAAGATCTTTAGTACCATGTGAAATGTCCTGCAGTTATCCTGCTTGGCCTCCAATGGCTAATCGAGAATGATCCTCCTATCAGTGTCCTGCGTTATACCTGCCAGTCCCTTGTGAATGTCACAGATAACTTGGACATCCCAAATCACACTAGACACATGTAGTTATGGAATCTAATTAAGACCTAAGGGGGATGCATTTTGAGATTATGACACCTAGATAAGCTGTCCAAGCACAGTCATCTGGATGTGTGCTAGATGTCCAGACTCCCATTAAAGCTGACAGAAATATAATCAATGCTGTCAGTGGAGCCTACAGATCAATTAAGCTGACCATCTTGAAGCTATCTGGTTCCCACTAATGGTATCTCCACTAACTACAATTGATGCTTCCATGCCTACCTCACATGCACACGCTCACGTGTCAACACCTGGATTTGGATGCCTTAAAATGAAACTGAATCCCACTCTCAAGTTTATGTGGCAACACCAACCTTCTAAAGAGCTTATCTCTGCTCGTTTGCCATGGAGAAACCTAGAAGAATGGTTCAGAGGAGATCCCTGACTTGTAGGCTAAGTTTAGATAAAATGAATCCCATACATGATGAGCAGTACGTCTTCCACTTGCCAAATGATTGGGCTAAAACCTGTATAAGAGTTTTCCATCTGAAATATCGACAGCTGAAGATTGACAACATTTGTGATGCAGGAGTGTAGGAAAGAATCTCATTCATAGCAGAGTCCTGACTGTACTTCAGTTCACAAATGGAAAATTTTTTATTCCTATGCCGGATGTACATGCAATAAAAAATAACCAAGCTATCCGTTTGTGCAGCTGCATTTTATAATATGCAGTTCTCAGCAGAGAAATGTTAAATATAAAAGATGTGAGCACACAGCTGGGAGGAAGTGGCAAGCACTTGGCAGGGCTGGGAAAAGAGATTTTCACACGTGGCCAAGTAGGAACCTCATGAGCTCCAACAAATATATGCAGTGTCCTCTACCTGGATGCATTCAAAAGGCCAAATAATACCTTTTAAGTGTTTGATTCAGGTGCCTAAAGACAGATTTGGTGCCATTTAAGATGCCCCAAAGTGTCCCTTTAGGCCTTCAGCTGTAGCTTCAAAAAGGAGGAGATCTCAAGAAGGTCCATGTCAGATCTGTCATCTCCTCGCAGAGGTTTTGGACACCACAGAATGTCTATGTTAAGGCCCTGAATCAGACCCTAAATGTTCTTCTTTCTCAAAATTCCTTTTGAGCATCATATTAAAAAAACCTGACTGTTCCTTGCCTTGTCGGCTGGCAGAGAGAAGAGTAACTGTAAGAGATGTGCAGCCCAGCACACAGAAGGAGGATTTTCTACATTGTCTCATGCAAAGAGTGGGAGAAATGCTACTGGCACAAGCATAGATCAACACCCAGGAGTGAAGGGAATGCAACAGTGAAAATTGCTGAATTGTGAAAATCCCTAGTAAGCCTGAGGAACCAGCTCTTCTGCTTGACCAGCCTAATGGCTGGACCACTTTTAAAGAGCAAAATGTATTGCTTAGGCTGCAATAAACTCCAAGAGCCCTTGTCTCTCACAAGGACCTCAGACAAAGTGTGTGAATTTATCTGGCCCAAATAGCAATTCACCAATAGAAATAAGGGCACAAAGCCATTGTTACTTCTGGTGAATTCAGAGTATTTTAAAGCTGATTTTTCTCTTCTCCCACTGATGTCCTACTGGATCATACTCCTCCAACCAAGGCCCTGCTTTGTTGCTAGTTTATCCTTACTTACAAACTACGAATGTGTTTCAGATAATCTGAATTGCCATTTGAAGCCTGTCTTTGAGCAGGCACCTTTAAACACAGCCCCACAGTGCTGCTTGGTACTGTTGTGCTGACCCTTCCTCTGGAATGGTCGGCAGCAGAGACAGATCATGACAGAGAGAAATCATTATTTCTGACAGGGATTTGAACCAGACACTGCAAATAGTACCTCTGTGACAATTATTTCTGCCTGGCTTTTTCCTAGAGGGGTTGAATTTGAAGACAGATTTGATACAAGGGACCACCTTTACTGCGGCTTGCCTCAGCTGCTCTCTAGTTGAGCCTGGTCCCAACCCAGCTTGTTGCTGAGCTCATAAAATATATTTTCAAATTCCTGAGTTTTCCCAGATTTGTAATTTTTCAGCCTCCTAAGCATTGAGATATGTAAATTGAAAAGACTGCATTAGAGAAAGTAAATATTTATGAGCACAGTGGAGCAGTGCTTTAACTTCTGGATGTGTCCGTTTGTCAAGTGCTGCAATGCTCAGAGGCTGTAAGTTATCATTGCAAAAATGTTGGGCCTTGGATAATAGCGTAGACGAGGTCTTTTCAGGGGGTAGATTACAACATTTGTCATTATTGAAAACACGAAGCAGAATACCTGTAAGAGATGAGAAACTCATCACACCAGGGAATTCAGTGCTCCCACATTGGAGGGGTTGAGTATGGGAGCCACGTACCTTAGAGGAAACCAAGGATGACTGTGATCCCTTCCTGATGGGTGGGTCTCTTGACCCACCTTCCTTCGCGTCTCCATGCCCTTAATATTGTGAAAACTGATTATTGCTGAGGAATTATTTTCACAGCTCATTTAGGCTCCAGCACACTGAAGCATTTCAGAAGTGGTGCAAGAGAGAGAACCATGTACCCTTTACCAGACCAAGGCTTCCAGCTCACTGCTAAGCTTCTACCTTCATCTTTCAAACTTTTCCAAAGTTTGCCAGCTTGTACTGAAAATGTCCACATTGGGGGCTTGCCCAAAAATGAAATTTTCTGGGAAATTACTTTTTTTTCCTCCTAAGACTTAAGAAATGTCCCTCTTCATCAGTATTTCCCATGGGAGAATCAGTGTGGTGTTCAGGGATGTACATTACATTGCTTTCCAGAAAATGTCCCTGCATTTCTCCAACTAAAAATAAAGACATTTTAAGATCTGGTTACACTTTAGCATGTAAACTGGATGAAAATCCCATCTTTACTGAGACTTCCCCCTTCTCAAAGCAGAATAGGGGCAGCCCAAACTTTCCCTGCTTTTTCTCCAGTCTTTTGTGACATTTTGTATGGGTGTGGAGACTTGTGAAGTAGCTGTCCCAGTCAGTCAGAAATACTCACACTCATGGCTGGAGGAGGAACTTAACTCATCTAGAATACAAACAAATTTGGAAAAGGAAAGGAAGGGAGAATGCGAGGGAAGGGAAAGGGGTTGATGGTGGTAGGTCAGTCCAAGAGGTTCATCATATAGGTAAGAGGGGAGGAAATTTTAAGTAAGGTCCAGGGTAAACAGGAACAAATGTGAGGTCAGAAAATAAGGACCAGGATACAGGAAATAAAAAAAAACACTAGAGGTAGATCAGGCAAAGAGAGTCAGGAGTGAGGTGGGAGAGGAGCAGTTTCAAAGGAGAGAGGCCTAAGTCAGAGGAGGGAGGGTGGAAGCAGGATGCACTAATGACATGGAGAGAATGGCAGGTTATTGCTGGGGCCAGGGAACATCCATAGTGACACAGGCCATGTAGGGCTTAATATTTTACTGGGAAGAAGAAGCCAGGAGACAAAAATTAGCAGCCATAGAAACCTATAAAGATATAAGAGAGAAAATGGAAGCTAAACTGATGGGCTGGAATAATCTCAGACCCTGTATTCCTTTCACAATGGATCCTGGGACTCCTTTTAACAGTGAGTCCCGTTGTAAACCCTGGCTTAAACGTGATACTTTAGTCCTGCCCTCACATGTAACGAAGAAGGAGAAAGAGAGGATGTTCCTTGGCTTCCACAACTAACTGTAAAAATTAAATAGATAGTTTCATACTTGATGCCTACTAGGTGTGCTTTTTCAGACATGTCTACTACAGCTTCTATAAAGGTGTGTTTGATAAATTACAGCTTCACTGCCTCTTCCTCTCTGCTCGCTGCTGGTTTAACACCTCCTGGATTGCTTTTCCACAGGCTCTGCAGGAGGAGATTAACATTTCCGGTAGTAAAATAAAAGTCAGTTACCTGAGCAGTCGCACAGCAGGCTACAAATCAGTCCTGAGGATCAGCATGACCCACCCCACCATCCCCTTCAACCTCATGAAAGTCCACCTCATGGTGGCTGTCGAAGGACGCCTCTTCAGAAAGTGGTTTGCAGCTGCTCCGGACCTGTCCTATTATTTCATCTGGGATAAGACAGATGTCTACAGCCAGAAGGTGTATGGGCTCTCAGAAGCCTTCGGTAAGTGACCCCGGGGCTTGTGTCTTTTCCAAGCAGCTAAGTGACAATGCACAGACCTTGTCTTAGACCGGTGGGGTCCAACTGCTAACACGTGAAATGGTCCCTGCTGGGTCACTGCTGCTTCCTTGGAGAGCACTGGGCCCAGCTGTTTAGGCAGAACACATTTCCCCAACAGATGAAAGCTTATCTGTGCTCTGGCTCATGGCCCAGCACATGCATCCTGAGCTGCTACCACCAGACTGATACAGAAGGAATGAACTGGGACTAGTGGTGTTATGCTGTCTCTCACCTATAGCCAAAAGCTGTCAGCACTGCTTTGAAAGACATGCCTAGAACTGAGCCATTTTCTCCACTCCTCCTTGTGCCTGACATTCAGGATCACTCTAATCCTAGTTTCCCCTTCATTACCCATTCAAGAACTCCATAGGAAACTGGGGCTTGATGGTCGTCTCTTTTGTACCTTGCGCATTCATTTGCATCTGCAAAAGACTGTCAGAAGCTGCAAGGCAGAGAACAGGAAGGCTCTGCCTACTCAACGTGCCACACCCCCAGCACCAAGCATTGTTGCCCACACCACTCTACAGGGTGATCGTTTCCCATCTGATCAACAACCAGAGGACAGTTACAGCTCATCGATAGAGTTTAGACCTCTCATGCTGTCAAGGAAATGATATCAGAAAATTAGTCAATAGAGCTTTTGCTGACAGAAGGGTGGTTCACTGATGTCTTGGAGCCCAACTGGAAATAAGTTTCTTTAGAGGAGTTGTAGGGTGCCTTGTTTTCTAAGAGGATGGATGGGTGCCTTCCTCTTACTCAGGCTCAGCTGCCTTGAGCAGGCTGGATGATACAACCTGCTGAGCCTTACTCAGTTTGGAGTCTACACTGAGAAACATATCCTGAAAGACTATGTTTACATGCTCTTTAAGATGCCAGATCAGCGGTGGGGCCTGGAGTGCTCCATAATGCAGCTCTGCAGCCCCAGAATACTCAAGCATGTCTGAGGACATCAACATTCAGGCTTTCAGTGATTCCCACCTCTAGAACAGTGGAAAATATCAGGCCTTCATTTCCTAAATTGCATCTTCCTCTGATAACTTGAGTCTCCAAAAGGCTAGAGTTGATGGAGGATCCTAAGTTCACTCAGTGCTCAGTACTTTCAAGGAGGCTGGAAAACTTGTAAGATCAGACATTTATTTTTATCTAGTAAAAAAAAATAAGCTATGTAATTGCTTTTCATTTCATGAAAAGATCAGGTAGGACAGAAGAAAAACAGACCCATGAAACTGGTCCTGCTTCTGAGAAAATCATAAAGGAGTCATTATTCTGTCAAAAACATGATTTTCCTTCTACTGACATCGTTTTGAGCAAGCCCAATGTGTTGAGCGGAGTTAGTCCTGAAAGCCTCTGATAAGAGACATTACAGCAAGCAAACCCTTGGGACATTAGCAATGGCCACAAGTCACCCTGGTCTAACGCTGCTGTCTCCAAGGGACTTGCTGCCCCAAGCCTTGTATATATGAGTCTTTACTTTCCACGAAAAGCCATGAGTCTTAGCAAGTTCCTGACAGTTCCTTTGGTCAAAGATGGTAGATAGGAATAAGGTGTTCCCCTTTAGGAGTCTAGTGGTGGTTTACACCCTTAAATAGCCATTGTTATAAAAGACATCTTTAAAGCAGTGCCTTTTAATTTTTTAGCACATTTGCCCAACATCTACAACTGCATTGACCTTTTTAAATTCAGGATGGCCTTTAGAGAGAAAAATATTAGGACATTATTAGGACATTATGATGATGACATTTTAAATTAAATTGGCAGTTGCTTGTAGAAATGTTCTTACCCTTGCTCAGTTAAAACTCTGTGGGTGCTGACTGTGCATTTCTAGGTTACTAATCTGGGGGGTCTTTTGTATCTCTTATTCATAGTGTCAGTAGGTTATGAGTATGAATCCTGTCCTGACTTGATCCTGTGGGAGAAGAGGACAGCTGTGCTGCAGGGTTATGAAATTGATGCTTCCAAACTTGGAGGATGGTCGCTGGACAAACACCATGCCCTCAACATACAAAGTGGTAGGTTGTCTGTAACATGTAACAGGAATGATGCAGTGTTTCAAGGCCCAGTCTCTTCTTATCACTAACAATTCAAGGAGAGGGAAAGGAGAGGAGAGGAGAGGAGAGGAGAGGAGAGGAGAGGAGAGGAGAGGAGAGGAGCGGAGAGGCGAGGCAAGGAACGGGGAAAGGCAAGGAAAGGAAAGGCAAGGAAAGGAAAGGCAAGGAAAGGAAAGGCAAGGAAAGGAAAGGCAAGGAAAGGAAAGGCAAGGAAAGGAAAGGCAAGGAAAGGAAAAGGAAAGGAAAGGAAAGGAGAAGGAAAGGAGAAGGAAAGGAGAAGGAAAGGAAAGGAAAGGAGAAGGAAAGGGAAAAGGAAAAAAAAAACCAAACTTACCAACATTTGTATTCTCTCATGTGTTTTTTAACAATTTATTTCTGGTAATTAGAAGCAGTTTGGTGTGTGTAAGTGCAAAAGAAGTTGGCCATCGCTAAGTAGCTGAATATTTTCATGTTTAACTTTGTAGTGTCTTAAAAGAAGGGGGTTAACGAGGAAAATATTCATAAAATACCAAAGGGGAGCCTATTCAGATTGGACTGAGCATAAATCCACCCAGACACATCCTGCAATGTGCAGGTGTACTTGCAGAAACAAGAAGGGAAAATGGAAGGTGGCAGAGTCCTTGAAGGCTGCTCAAGACTGCAGCAGGGAGGCCTGAAAGCTGACCAGAACACATTCAGAAGATGGAAGCACTGTGTCCCTCTAGATAATAGCAGTGGTAAGGGAGCAAACATCTAATTCAGCCCACATCACTGCTGAAAACACTACACTTCCAGGGAACGTAAGCAGAGCTCTTCTAAAGCTTTGCAGATGAAACATTTCTCTAGAGAATGCACCATGGGTTTCCTGTCCCTTATCTTTCCATGAGCTATGTCATTTCTTTTTTTAGATGGTAGACTTCAAATTACAGGGCAAGGAGGGACAGAAAGGGCAGGTGAAAATTCATGAGACATTGAAAAGTTTATTTCATTCCATGGTAAAGACAGTGTCATTCTCCATACATACTTCTGTTCTGCAGGAAATGTAATAGGTCTATAAAAATACTTACTTCAGATAAGGGGTCCTCCCTTGAAACCATCACAAAACAATGCTATGAAAGATGATAAACCTCCTAGCTACTTGACAAACTCCCCAGCTGGTGCCCAGCCTTGCAAGTTTGTGCTCCTTCAGGTCTCAGTTTCCCTATTTCTCTTTAATTTCCTTATTACTCTTTTCTCTCTCTAGGCATCTTGCATAAAGGAAACGGGGAAAACCAATTTATTTCCCAGCAGCCACCTGTAATTGGAAGCATTATGGGCAACGGCCGCAGACGTAGCATTTCTTGTCCAAGCTGCAATGGTCTTGCAGATGGGAACAAACTCCTGGCTCCTGTTGCCCTAACATGTGGGTCTGATGGAAGTCTTTATGTTGGAGATTTCAACTACATCCGAAGGATCTTTCCCTCTGGAAATGTCACCAACATCCTGGAGCTGAGGTACACTGTGCTGAATGTGACCATTATAATTATGCCTTTAAATTCTGCAGGAATTTTATGTACCCAAAAGGAAAATCAGCAAAACTCTTAAAAAAAAAAAAAAAAAGGCAACAAAACAGGAAAAAAAAAAAAAAAGCTGTGCAGATTGGCCTCTTCTGCAACTCTGCTGACTTTGATTTACACCAGAAAAACACAGGCTTAACAAGTTCTTCCAGAGTTGAATCACACACCAAAAATATTGACACATTTCTGTGCTGCTAAATCAAACTGTGTTGAGGCCTGTCTTTTTGTGTGGTAGAGACCAGTGGGAATTCTTAAAATTAACAATCAGCCTCTGAGATAACCTAAACTTGGAAGGACCCAGGATACTATCAGGATATATAGAGGTCAATCAGGACAGATGGTCATTCATCATTAAGACAGGGTGATCACTCTAGGTAGTCACAGACTTGAGTTTTTCTAGTTGTTTTGGGGGGGATAAATGTATCAGTCTCCTTCAGTTCCCAACTGAACAGCAGTGTCAGGTTGAACAGATCTATGGATCATCTAAAAGTAAGTGAAATATTTCCCTTTAACCCCGAAAGGAAAAAAGAAATATTAGAAGAAATAGAGAGGGTAGGGAAGGAACATCCATTAAAAACAAGGAAGGCGAGGGAAAAGTATAATATGTCCCAAGTTCTGAGAAAATGAAATAGATGTGATTAAATCAAAATTTCAAATTGACCTCACTAGGGATATTTTTCCTACCTAAAATTTCCACAACAAACTCAATTACCCATTTCAAAGCACCAGGGCCTGATTCTGGGCTCTGTGTGGCCAGACAGGACTCACCCCAGGAAAGTCAACAGCGTTAAATGAGTGTTGCTGAATAAGTCTTCTCTGCTTGCAGGGCCTGACGTAAGGTCCTGAGAGATCAACGTGAGGTTAGCATGGTAGAAAGGTTCACATTCCCATTTACCTCTCTAGATCTGGCCTGAAAATGAGAATCTTCCAGAAAGCAAGAACCTCCCTGCTCTGCTCAGATTTAATATCCTGTCTCCTGAGGTCAAATGTCAGGCACCATTTCTGCAAGGACTGCCATGTGGAAGGTTACTAGACAGCTTCTTAGAGCAGTGGGGTCCCATACAGCATTGCTTTGTGTTTCCATTTTCTCTGCAAGGCTGCAGGTAAAACTGAAAGTCGATCTGCAGCAAAGTTGGTGTGAGATCCCATTAGTCCCTTGTTTACAAACATGCCAGAGTCATTAGAACTTGCTGAAGGTCTTATCTGGCACGCAGAACCATCCTCACAGATCATGGTGCATTAGGAAGAAAAACTTCAGGCAGCCATCAGAAGACTGGCACTTGCAGAATAGCTGTCTTGGGAAGCTCACAGGGTGACAAAGAAATCAGGAGGAGGAGGAGTCATTGAATCAGAAAGCCCACAATGAGTTCTTTACAGTCACATCTCAGAGGGCTGAGATACCTTTAGAATAAACAAGCAAGAACCTGGTTCTTGCAACTCTGTTATGTGATATAGGACAGCAGAGTACCTCTCATGTTTGTAAGGTGGGAACCTGGGATAAATCTTCAGACCTGGTCCACGTTAAAGAATGTAATATTCTTCCAGTGCCAGAAAGTTATTTTAATGACCAAAGGTGAGATTTCCAGTGGAGCCTAGGTGATTCAGGCCCCAAATCCCATTGCAACCGTCTGGGACTAATATCTCATTCCCAGAAGTACAATTTTGAAAACCTGATCCTCGTTTCATTGTCAGTGGAAACACCAGACTCACTGGAGGTTTTGCAGAGTATTTCCTGATTGGAAAAGAGAAAATTGGAAGCCTCGATGGAGTGGCCTTGCTGGCTTTTGCGTAGAGCCACAGAGTTAAATTTACTCCAGTTAAATCTGCTGGAACGATTGCTGCTTCATCTGTGCAAACACTTAGGTTACTGGATCTGATAAACATTTCTTCACTCTGGTGTGCTATAAAGTGGGTTCAGATGCTGACTGACTAAAAGCTGCAGAGGAAAGCCATTGCTCTGGGACTAAATGGCGTTTGCTTGTGTCTTCTTAAATCAGCATTTCCTTGGAGATTAACACCTTCACTGTTTGGCTTTGAAGTTTTGTTTCGAGGAGTGTCTTTTGAAAGTAGTGTCCTGGTGCAGAGAGGAAAGCAAGTGCATTGTGGGTGGCAAATAACTGCAGCTGGGTATGGAACTAGACCCATGAAAAATGTCCAGTTCAGCATAATTTCAGTCCTCTGAGCTGGAGTTCATGAGGTTACAGCAACAAACTGCCACCCATAACTGTGCAACTTTAGCACACCACAAGTTATTGTTTTGACTGAGAGTGAAAAAAACAGAAAGATATCTGTATCTACATATTTTTAGCTCAGTACTGCTCTGATTGATATAGTCTGCCTGGTCCTATCTCTTGCATAAGTGAATAACTCCAAGGAGGTGAGATCACACCTCCTTTGTCATGTGCAGTGGTGCACCAGTGAGCTCACTGCCAAGGAGCTTCTGATACAAAGTATATCAGTGTCATTCCATCTAAGTATTTATTACTGCATTGTATGATACAGTTACTGTCAAGTTTTCAATCTGCTAATAATGCATCGAACTGAGCTGCTAACACCTCGTTCTTTCTTCTATTCCCTGCTTTCCTGTCTTCTGTCAGAAATAAAGATTTCAGACATAGGTAAGCCAACCAGTAGAGAATTCTTATACTGCTCCCTGTCTTGTTGCATGTTGTTACACAGTGAGCCACAAGTGCCATTTCCAGATGATTCAATAGCAAATGAAGCTGGCGTGATTATAACTGGCGTAGGCAATCAGTCATCAGAACTGGGAACCATTAATCACTGAGCAGAACCACCCAGACTTTTGCATGAGCTGCTCTAGCTGTAGACAGGGGAAGTACAGGGGCAAGAAGCAGGGTAACAAGAGGAGAAGGGTGCAAGGAAACATGGGTGGGAATTAATCAAATTGGTAAAATGTTGACAGCATCAGGATACAGATCGCTGGAATAGCTACAATGGAAAATAGAATTCTCATGTGGTGAAACATTTTCCTGTTGAGTTTTGAGGACTGCAGCAGGCATAGTGAAGGGCCAGATGTACCCCAGCATTACCCACCGAGGAAAGTAAGTTTTTGCAACTTTTTGCCAGTCTGTGCTCTTGATAGAGAGCCTTTGCATTATGTGAAAGCATGTCAGGCTCAGATTTGAGGTAGTGAGACTCAGGACCTTAGCCAGGAGATGCAATAAAAAAGAGAAAGCATGAGGACAAGAAAACAAGATGAAAGAGAGACTCCTAAATTGGAGCTTTGTCACTAAGAATATTTGTCACTTGGGTTCACTGGAGTTTCATTGAGTTTGATCCAATCAGTTGCATTCAGGAAGATGTCAACCTCCTGTCACTATCTGTGTTTGCAAGGGCTTCTCTGTCTCTGACAAGCTTCCCATCCTTCTCCTTGGTTGCTTTCTAAATTAGAAGCTTAGACTGTGGAGCTGGGGTTGGGGTTTTTTTTTGTGTGTATGTGTTTGGTTTTCCTTTGCATTTGGGATTGGGGGTTTTTCTTGCTTTTTATTTACTGCTTCTTTGACTTCACAGAGGCTGTGCAAAACCAGAAATGTTCATTTTATCTGCATGCCTGGAAATGCAATGGAGTAGAAACTGATTTTTTGTCTTATTGCCAGAACATGAATGAAGGGCTGAGCTTCCACAGTATAATGGACTGGCCCAAAGCGACTATTAGCAGGGCTGGGAGGTTGGTACACAAGACCTCAGTACTGATTGTCTTCATCAGGCTGAGTTCCAGCCCCCCAGCTCCTCTTTCACATCATTTGAAGGCAATAGAAAAACTCATTTCTCTTTGGAACAGCCAGGTTGTGTCGTTAATGCCCCAGAAATACACAGGCACTAAAGTGCACCTGCTTTGACAGTGAAGGGCAGCAGCTGAATCCCTGTTACAAGAAGAGGTTTTATATATGAAGGCAATAACTGAGTGAAGATGTATGGACTGGCCAAATGTGCTGCAGATGCCATCAGAGCCTCCAAGAGTTGGCAGGGCTTCAGCCTTTAGGCAATTCCTAAAATCTAAGAAAAGAAATGAAAGCAAGCCAAGACATGCCTGCTTCAATGCAGGGCAGGGCAAAGGGGACTAGGAAGGAGGTGAGGAGCTCAAGATGAAATATCCCATCTGTGACTACATTAAGGGAGTCATCCGTGTGAGTTAGCAGCTGTTGTGTGTCGTTTGCCATAGTACTTCTTGTTAGGAAGCCCCTTCATTCCTCAGCCAAAAGGAAATGAGTGAGTGTAGTCTTAACTATAGCTCCAGTGCTTTTTGCTCCAGAAGGTCCTAAGCTTGACACAGCTGACAGGCAAGAGCTGCAAAGAGTGAGATCCACGGAGCTGAATCTTAGTGGTTTGGAAAAGCTGCAACCCATATGCAACAGCTGCCTTACTTCAGGGCAAAGGATTCCTCCCCACTACGTAGCCTGTGGTGCACCTGATCTCGAGAGGTTCTGGAGCAACCAGCTAATAGGCTTGGCTCTACAGCACAGCATAGGTAGCCAAGGTCTAACTCTGCAACAGCCGGATAGCTAAGCCAAAAAGCATCACCAAATTGTGATGCCTCCCAAGTTTACACCCATTTGTCATTCAGTAATAGATTAATAGGAACTTACTCCAGTATGTCTGTGTGTGGACCTGTCTTAGTGGGCTTATGCATAGCAATAATAGTTTGCAGTTAATTGTCATCATCTTTTCTCTGCAGGAACATGGAGGCTGGTGAGGCATTTCTGTGTTGCAAATAGAATTAGATAATGGTTTGACTTGATGGTTTTAAAGGTCCTTTCCAACCACAGCAGTTCTGTGAAATACACAAAAAGTGGCCACACTTAAATATATTCCTCCTTTCTTGTTTCCATTCATACCATAGAGAAACAAATCTACAATTAGTGGCAAACAGAGGTATCTTAGAAAACTGCCCTAGGATCTGTTCAAAAGTCCTTTGCAGTCCCTGGGTTGGTTTATGGCATTGCTGTGAAGTTTTATTATCCAGCCTGTGACACCAGAAGAGCTTTGGGCATCACAGAAACTGAAAATACTAAAAGGCCAAGTGTAAATTCAGCTCACTGCACTGTGTGGCCTCCTTATGTATTAATCTGTTGAATGTCACCCAGGGAAAAAAAGGCCAGTACCTAACACAACCTGTAATAAAATCCTCTGTTTGTGCGCTGCAGGGTGCTTAGCATGGAGCCGTGGAAACACAGCCCTGCTGATCAAAAAACACTTGGCTGCAGAATGTGGTAGTTCTTTAGACACCAGCAAATGCATGTGGCCAGCAAGGCTCAGAGGAGATGAGGGCAGCTAACACAGAACATTTTACAGAGGTGGTCTCATGTCCTCAGAGACATCAGATCCAAAGAAGCCCCATGGGGTTATTCAGATCAGCTCCTACAGGTAACTAACTTTGATGTTGTGGCTCCTCCTACCTTTTGACCACAATGGGAGCCAAAGCCATACTGTTACCATTAACAGAAGTTGGCCTTTAAAGGAGAATCACAGAATGGTTTGGGTTGGAAGGGACCTTAAAGATCTAGTTTCAACCTACCTGCCGTGGGAAGGGACATCGTCCACTAGACCAGGTTGCTTGGAGCCCTGTCCAACGAGGTCTTGAACACTTCCAGGGGTGGAGGTAGTAGCTGCCCTTGCATTTGAGAAACTAAGATGCCATTCATCTTCTAAGATGAATGCTTAAAATATCAGACAAGTCATTCTCCAAAAGATGTTCTTTCTCTCCAGTGCCTGTAAAGGAAGTTAAGGCAGCCAGTTCAGATGCAGACATCCACCTTGTAACCATCTGAAGCTGGGTGAGATGAATCCCCTGGTTTTGAGCAGAAGGCAACGACAAGGTGCAGTCTGCTCTGCTGAACTACTAAAGTAACCTGCTAAACCAGAGACCATCTCTCTTTTCTCATCTTTATTCCTTAAGGACTGGTTTCCCATTCTGGAGCAGGAGGTTCCTTCCTCTGACTCCTCCAACGCAGAGGTTCTGGGCCCAAGGGGACAATATCTACCTTTGCTTAAAGCCTGTGTATCTATTGTAGTACTACAGAAGCAACTTTCATGAGCAATGTCACCTCCATTTCACCTTGCCTTGTAGAACTTCTGCTTATGAATCTGTCCTCATTCCCAGTGACTACACCATGCTCACTAATACCCATTAACACATCTGTGCTTGGCTAGGGACTAGCCTTGCCCCGTCCCTGCAACTTTGTTTTTTGACTTCAAGGACTTAAAATAGCAATTCAGTGCTCAGAGCCTCTTCTAAAAAATCTTAATAGCAACAGAATGATCTCAATGGGAAATCAGATCTTCACCCACAGGCCTCTTCTAGTGGTGGCAGTGTCAATATGGGGGATAAATATTCTAAGACTACAAATACTGTAACTGATTAGATCTTCTGAATAGTAAAGAGTCCTGTCCTTTGTTCTGGTCCATTATCTAACTAAACAATGAGAGAGGATGAAAGAGAAAAAAAAAATCTGCTTTGCCCCAGGCAGATTTATTTCAGTTGTTGTTCAGTTCAGTCCAATTTGCCACTTGGATTTGCCTATTGTTTGTGGCTTTAAATAAAAAGCAAAGCCCCAGTGTTCCCAGCTCATGCATTATCACAGAGGAAAGGAAGCAGTTTGGGAACTTTTACATTGCTAATATATGTTTCTTTAGCATCTCTCATACTGAAGGATCTCAAAGTGTTAAACAAAATCTCTGGTGTATAATGCTGTGAGATCCCTACAAGGCAGAGCGTGACACCTCCCCAGTGCAGTGGTGAAATCTGGTGGCAGAGGCCAAGGGGAGTAAAGTCCAACCTGACCATTTTTAACATTTTCTATTTTACCTTCCCTGCTCCAAATCATCCCAGGTTAAATACTCCGTTGCCCAATCCAGGAGACCTTTCCACCTGGTGAAATCCAGACTCAAGTGACCTAAGATTTTAAGTGTCCCAAGGTTATTACCATCCCATGGGTAGTTCAAACAACAGAAGTTTCTACCTCTTCCAAAGCACATCTGCTAGTAAAGGGGTGTGTGTGCCTTTGTGGCACCCACCTATGCAGAGGATTAAATGTTTAACCAGTCAGAGCTAATGTTTTAATGACTATGAACTTTGAACTCACTCCTACTTTTTTGTGGCATCTATATTCAGGACCTCATTAATAAAACTGAACTTGGGTTACCAGCAGCTACTCAAAGCATTACTTTAATATGACAGTTTTTTACTTAGTAAATTTAGGTGGGAAGTACTTCTTCCAGCTTCTCTGCTGGATCAATGTTTTGCTTTTCCCTGGTTCTCTGATCCATGGTTAAAAGTAACCAATGTTTGTTTCAGTGTCCAACTATTAGAAAATAGTTTTAAGAACTATGTCTTCCACAGGAGGTTGTAATTAATAACAAAATGCACCAGATTGAAGCTATGAAATCCAAAAAGAAATTACAATGATAGTGCTGAGAGAGGGGGGCAGGAGTTGGAGTTCTCCTGCCATTTCTCTCCATCTTTGGAAAGTCATCTGCCTTTGCCCATCTGCAAATGGCCTGCTGTGAGACTCAGTGAAAGCTCTCCGTGCTTTCCAGGCAAAGATGCTGAAGAATTGCAAAGGGCCATTAAAAAGGTCCTCCTCTTGTCCACCTCTCATGCAAAACAGAGATGATGAACAGCTCAAAAGCTGACTGACATTCAGCCGGGCTTTGTTAGGACATTCAGTGGAAAATGCAAGGCCCTGATCAAAATGGATGATGGATTCCCACAGGGAACTTCTTCCACTGGGGTTGAAACCACTTGCTTAGTGTGAGTGACATGAAGGTAAATGAAATAATACCCTACCAGCCTGCTGTCATTGGAAAGGAATACAGATGGAGACTCAACTGTCAGGCTGGAGCTGTCTTGAAGGTCAGAGCATTTTATTTAGCAAGAATCAGTGTCATTTGTGGAGATGAAATCTGTTCAGACTTTAATAGGATAAATCACAAGGGATATTCCAGAATAAATCAGAAAGGAGCCTTTTTCTTCCCAAAGTATTAAGTAATTTGAATGAAGAACCAACTTACAGCTTTTTAAAGTAGAGAATAATTCAGTAGGTTTTATATGTCTGAAGAAGCATTAATTTTCCTACCATAAAGGTTGAAGGAGAGAGGAAATTTCTTATTATGAGGGACAGAATCAACTGTGACTGACACTCATGTTTCTAACCAGCTTCTCCTGGAACAATTCCACAAAGTGCAAAATTGTGGACTATGGCCTGTACGTTGATTATGAATTCCTGGGACCTGATGAGTTTGGACAGCTTGAAGGTGGTCTGGAGAAAAGTAGAAGCTTTTTTTCATACTTGTTCTAATTACTACTTAGCCTTTCTTAGAAGGAAGGAGACCTCTGTTCAGGCAGCAGTGTTACAAGTTTCATTTGTTGGTTTTGGGCTTAGAAGATATGTAGTACAATACAGCAGTAAACACTTGATTTTAATAAAAGTTGATAAGTTTAGTATCTATATTAAACAACAGATAGAATCATTGAAAGACCTTTCTTTTATATCGTGTCTAAACTGATCTGGATGGTTTTTCTGGCCAGTCTCACTGAATGCTTCCATAAAGTGGATGTTAGTTTATTCATTTCTTCAGTCTTGGGCTTATTTAGTGTTGTAGTCATGAAGCTAAAAATATTTGGTCTGCTCAACCCTTTTTCTCAGCCACTCCTCCTAGTTTTCAAGGAAGCACTGAGTGAATGAGGTTTGACAGGGGACTAATGTTCAGGTTCCTCAGCCCTCCTCTTAGTTTGTATTTAACTTAGGACAAAATGTGGCACTCCAAGGACCGTTTTAGTCCTCTTCTCACTGAGGTCCATCTGAATTCAGTGGCAGAACTTCTTCTAATCTCCCTGTGGGCAGGACAGGACACTGGAGTCTGTGCTGAAGTCAGCAAGAGCACCAGATAAGCCTTGATACAATGATCTTGAAGAGTCTATCTTCAAGTCCTTTATACCTGGGAGTCTGCCTTGGGGTTTTTGTACTGGATTCTTTGCTGGGAAGGCAGATATTTTTTTTTTTAATTTAATTTTTTTGCTCGATTTTCTGCCCTTGGCGTTCTATACTTTCCCTTCACTTTCTGACACTACACTAATACCAGTTTCAGGACTATGTCCATACTAAGGAAATTAAGCAAGCTCAAGCACTGTGACTCAACCTCTAGTAGTTCCTAAAGTGATTTTGGCTCAGGCCAGTGAGCCCTTTCCTTTGGTAGCTGCCTTCCATGCCAGTGGCTGGAGACAGGTCGAGCTGTAACACACCACGTACTGACGTTGTCCAGTACAGCACTGCTTCACTTTCCCAGTTTGTCTGCCCTGTGCGTTTTTATTCTCCCAAGTGCTTGCATTGCCTGTTGACTTACGGAAACAAATAATCCAAAAAAATAATAACATCCTACCCTTGTTTTTCAGCCACAGCCCAGCTCATAAGTATTACTTGACCACAGATCCTATCACCGGCTCCATCTACCTCTCCGACACCAACAGCCGACGTATCTATAAAATCAGGTCAACCACATCAGTGAAAGACATTGTGAAGAACTCAGAGGTCTTGGCGGGAACCGGGGACCAGTGCCTCCCGTTCGATGATACCCGCTGCGGAGATGGAGGCAAAGGCACTGACGCGACCCTTACAAACCCCAGGGGTGAGACTCCTTCTTCTCCACGGGCTTTCTTAAAGGGGTCTTTTCTGAAAGGGGCTTGTTTAGTCACGTTAGAGACTCTTCTCCTCTCCAGTTCAGAAAATGCCCTCAGATTTTCCAAGCCTTCTCCTTTCAACCCACAAACAGATCCTAAGGGCTTGTCTCTGGCAATAAATGAGTATGTCTCCCCCTCAGCCAATCCTGGTTCTTCTTATTGAGGTGGGTGGGAGGTGTGTCAAATCAGAGGGGGGTAGTGATGGGCACATGTCCAAAGGGCAGTAGAATAAATCCACCCATCCATTTTATACCCACTTAGCCACTGCTCCTCCTTACCAAATAACAGTGTTTCATCCTTCCCAATCCCGTTCTGTCCACTGAGACTTTCTTGGCATTAAAAAAATAAAAATTTCTATAAGCATTGTTGTACAACTAAAATAGCAACAAAACCAGCATGCAGCTCAGAGATACATCAATTGAGGTTTGCACATGGATGTTATATACCATGGCATCTAGCTTAAGTCTTATAGGGGGGTGGATACTAATTTTGATAAGGCAATATTCTAATTCAGCACAAATTCACATGATTCTTGATTAGCTAAATGTGATAAAAGCACAGTCAAATCAAAGTAAAAGCATCACACAGCCTTCATGACTGAGAACTAAATTGTTCAAAACAGGTTTAGCCCAACATATGCAGTCCTGTGTGCAGCCAAGACTTCAGTCTGGCAGTCTCAAGGTAACAAGCTCTGCATATGGTGGACGTCGCTCCTCCCAGCTGTCCGCAGCTCCTCGGAAAAAAGGCACAAGGAGGGTGTAGAGATGAGGTGGAAGATGCTGTTGGTATACACACCTTCTGCAGCATTTCTGAAGAGGGGCAAGAAGGAAGCCTGTGCAGGAAATGCTTTTAGAAATGTGGAATTTCTGCCTGTTGTCCATCTTCTTGCCCAGTTATTGCAAGGAGTTATTCATGGGTTCTTCGCTTTGTCGTCAGTGTGCTGCAGGTTTCCTTTTTCCATCTGTCTGCCAGTGGGAGCTCCTTCCTTCCTCACCATGGCATTTCCAAGCCTATCCCAACCTCTTTGTAAAGCTTCCCCTCAGTAAATGCTGGGGATCCATTAACAAATTATTTCACAAAGAGCAGGCAAGGTGAAGACAGCTTAACTGTTGTTTCTCTTCTGGGCTAGACTTCTCAGGAAGTTATTTTTCTTGATACTATTATCATTATTATTATTATTAACTATATATGTTATCATTATGTTATTATCATTACTGTTACTGAATTCAAGAAACCCAAACTGATTTAGTGTCCATTTGTGTCAACTCTAGTTGTGAGGGGTTTTTTGTTGTTGTTAACATGTAGGCTAGTTGTTTCCTGGCAGGATGCAGAAAAATATACCATTTTTTTTGCCAAAAAGCACTGAAAGCTAAACTGCTATCCTTGTAATATTCAAAAGGCCCAGCGTGGTTTACAAGCACTTCAGACTCCTGTGATGTGACCATTATACTGGGATAAATTCTTGCCAGAAGCACAGATACAGAAAGGGAACAGCTACCTGTGGTCAGGTTGCATTGCAGAAATTGTCTCAGTGAAGTGAGTGGAAACAAAATTAACTGAGTTGGGCAAAAAGATTCAAACAGTCCAGCAGATGAGTCAGGATATCAGGGAATCCAGAATTCTATAATCAAATTTTCTACACCACTTAGATGTTCAACCAGAGGGGGAAAAAAAAAAAAAAAAAAAAAAACACCCACCAGCAATGAAACACCCTACAACTCTTGTTGGACCTCCATTCTCCCTTGTGGAAGATAAGAGGAATATTATTCATTTCCTTACATGGGTGGATGTTGCAAAGTTTAGATGAATTACATTTCCACTTTGCTGTGGAATCAGAGCTCTGAAGTTCAAAGCTTTCAGCACTGAAATCCTTGTTGGCAGTTCAGGCTTTCCCTGTTCTTCCACCTCACTCATATAACAGCAACATGCCTGCATTCATTCTTCACAGCTCTGAAATTTCACAAAATAGAAGTAAATCAAGAGTGAAAGAGAAAATGACACGATGCAAAATGGCAACAAGTGAATAATATTCCAGAAAACCCACACTACCAATGGAAATTTTGGAAACAGTGTTCCCTGATCTGGTTCTAGATTGAGATTGCAAAGTCTGCTGAGACAATAGCTTTGGCAGGTGTGACTCACTTCCAATTCACCTTGATAAATAATTAACAGTGAAAACTCACATTGCCAGTGTAATGTCAGCATTGTTTATACTTTCACAACTGTTCATCCAAGCAGAAAAACCCAGGAAATGCTCTTCCTTTGTGTTTATGATTATATTTCATAGTAGTTCAAAATAAAGTGATTTATTGTACAAGTAACCAGGAGTCCCTCAGGTTACCCTCTGCTTCCTTGTCTTGCAGGAGATTAAACACTTATAAGTGAATGGTCAGAAGAAATTAGAAAATGATTCTGTAGCTATAGAGATATCAGCTGTCCAGGGAAGGACTTGGAAAGTTCAGTTCCTCAAAATCACCAAGACTTCATGAGACTCTACTTCTTAGTGCTAAAGCTTTTTTTTTTACTGAAGAGAATTGCTTCATGCAAAGTAGGATATGTGTATTTTAAGGACATCTGTGCACTTGTTCAAAAACTGAAAAGAAACAAAGTCTTGTGTCCACTTTCATGATGTTTTAATTAGCTGATATTTGCAGTGTGCTGGAAAATACAGAGGGAGTATGCTGCTGCCAGATGAAAACCAGCAGTTCATAAAGACTGGAGAATTGGTCGTGAGGTGTCAACAGACTTTTGCATCTACCTTTAGCCTCTTGGACCAGTCAAGCATTTGGGCTGAGTAGATTTTTTGTCTCTCTTCTCAGTGGAAAGAAACTGGTACCCTGAAGGTGGTTCATTCTGTGCCAGTGCATGTGTCTAAGGTAGGATGAACCATGTTTTGGAAGTGCTGATCTCCTCCTGGAGTTGATAGCCTGAAGAATGAGATCCCCACCCCAGCAAACACTGTTCTGAATGGTTCTACACTTTCTGAGAAGCAGCCTTGTCCTGACAGTTTTCATCACTTCTTCCAGTTCCCACCTCACCTCACATGAGTTCAGAGTGGATAATTTCATAGAATTATAGAACCACATGGTGGTTTGGGTTAGAAGGAACCTTCAAAGATCATCTAGTCCAACCTCCCTGCTATGGGCAGGGACATCTTCAACTCGATCAGGCTCCTCGAAGCCCTGTCCAGCCTGACCTTGAACACTTCCAGTGATAGGGGAGCCACAACTTCTCTGGGCAACGTGTTCCAGTGTCCCACCACCCTTGTCACTATTTTTTTTTTCCTTATCTAAATCTACCCTCTTTCAGTTCAAAACCATTATCCTTTCTCCTGTGAATACATTTCTCTGAAGTACCTTCTTGTTTCTCTCCACTGGTGGAGAGAGAACTCCCTTTAGATGATCAGCTTACACAAGATATTAAGAGGGATAAGATTCCCCCCAGGAATTCCACTCTTCCCCTGTCTTTGGCTTCTCTGACAGAGGTAGACCATAAAACTACAGAACAGGTAGATCAACAGATGAAATAGTGGTGGCAGATTTTGGTCAGGGTATTTATCATAGCTATTAGGAACCAGTCTGATACTTCCAGTTCGTTTGTCACAGAGCACAGCAAAGCTTTCAGATGCTAATGGATTTCAATATATCCTTGCAAATTAAAGTGTTACCACTTTCTAATTATCATCTGCTAATAATGATCCTCTTCTACAAGCAATCTAAAGAAAAATTAAAACTCCAGCTTGTCAGAGCATTTGTTTTCATCTGAGTACTCACCAGTGGTTCTCCTCGGGAAAACGTTGTGGCAGAGAAGCTACTGAGGAGCCTGCAATTAAAAGAGATTGCAGTGACAAGTCTGACACAATAGGAAGAAGGTTTCAGAAGGGTTGTGGAGGAGGAGGGGCATCTCCTTCATTTAGCACCACAAAAGCAATGCAAAATGAAGCAATTAATTTGGGGACAGATTGCTGCCTTCACCATGGCCTGCTGAAGGTGTAAACAAAAATCTCAGTTGTTCAGTAAATGTTTGGGAGTTCGACAGAATTAAAAGAAGAAACTCAAGTTGCCCACAATCTGTTATCATTTTTATTGTCAAATAATTATGTCAGGGTCATTTCAGGGAAGACCAGAGGCTGACTGAATAAAATATTTTGTCTCTTCACTGTGGCTGGAAAGACACATAGGGAAAGGGGCAATGATGGCGTGGGCTTTCCCTGCTAATATTCTAGATTCAAGTCATTGACATTCAGGGCACTTTCTGAAGAGGTTGCACCTGGACCTGTGCTTAGATGCCACCATCAATTTGTCTAGAATCCTCACTGAACACTTACTTTTTTCCTTCCAGACATCCTCTGTTAATAATGTCCACATTTTTTTAGCCACAGCATGGAAAAGTGTGGTACTTTTGAGGCCAAATCTTGGTGTTCTCTCTCTGTGCCTTTCCTAATCCATTCCTGTCTTCTATCTCTCTCCTTGACCACTGCTGAGCCTAAAGCTGAGCTTGGTAGAAAACTTTTCACAGGAGTTCCAAAATCTTTTTCCTGTGAGCTCTTTTGCAGCTTGTCATTGCATATGGGTAGTTAGGCTTACTCCTTCCCCTGTGAATTCCTCCCTACTTATTGACATTGATTTTCATCTGCTATTTTATCACTCACTTTTTCAGCATCCAGCCAGACAAGAAAGGTCCAAATTCAGACTCCTTTAGCACCTATTTTTTTTTTTTAAAAGAGTTTTTTTCCCCTGCTTTGTTTTTTTTTTTTCCCCATAAGTTACATGTGCAATTCAATCCTTTTAGCAGTTCGTCTTCTAGAACAAACCCACTATGTCCCAGTAGCTATTTGCAGCATGATGTTGTGCTGTCACCTCCCCACGCTACAAGGTCCTGACATTTCAAGCAGATGTCATCACAACTTTTTATCAGCACAGCTCGCTGGTGTGATGCATGTGGTGCTACAAGCCCTCATTTCTTATGGGATCTCTGACCATCCAAAAGGAGCCAGCATGATTTAATAACATATGTATTTCATATCTCAGAGCTTAAAGTTTGAATCTGCTACCTGGGTAGTGGCAGCAGATGTTTTCTCTCAGTAACTGTGAGATTGAACTTCGAGCTGTGTGCTGAAAATCTTTAATTCCATTATGTTTCTATGGAAACATGAGAGGAGCCTTCTGCCAAAGCAAGCCAAGGCCTTTGGCTTTACATGTGTAACGTGACTTACCCATTTCCATGTCCATTTGCAGGAGCGAGCTCCCAGCACTGGAGCTGTGCCCTTCCCAGAAAGGAAACACAGAAAGGTCCAATCTAACCTTTGCAATCTGCTGCAAAGAAGCTGTGAGATACTTCTTTCTCTCTGTGCAGAAGTCATCCATCTGAAGACACTTGTCTGTAGGAGAGCAGGGCTCCTTTCCATAATAAGATTTGATTCCAAGACAATCAGCTGAAGTCAGGAAGGAGTTGAAGCTGTTGCCATGTGAGGAGTATGTGCAAGTGGGAATTCAGGGGTCTGACAGACTGCAAACTCTGATACCCTGCAGAATATCCTAGTTAATGCAAGGCAGTTGAGATTGCTTAGCCTCTGTGAAAGAGGGAGAAGCAGAGAAGTGCTCTGTGATAAGAAAACTCACACGTGGCATTGGCCTGGAGCAGGATGAGAAGTGGTAACTTCGCTATCCCACTTCAACTTACTCGGGTGTGCAAGGTCTTTGTCTAAGCTGGAATGCAAAATAAAGTTGTGCTTTATCAGCTGATCAGAGCTGTCTCGAAAGCCAAAGTACGTGGAGGTTGTTATTAGTGTAACTGGTTAATCAGAGCAGCCATCAGCCCTCAGCCCTGAACACCGTGAGCACTGGCAGCCTACACCCTGATAAGTCCAATCCAATGCATATGGAACTAGCTCAGAGAGAAAATTCTGCCTCATTTAAAATCGCATTATCCAGCCCGCCACCCTTCACTGGCTTTTGGCCTGTCACACAGACGAATGGACAGGAGCCCTGAAACATACTCATTGTGAACCCAGGAACGGGTAAGAGCCTCTTGTGTCTGACAAAAGCCTGTTAAGATCAACTAAATCTTCCCTCATGCTTCTGAAATAGCACATCTACCATATGGCTTAAAGAGCTAGGTTGTATTCCTGGGTGTCAAGCAAACACCAATAAATGGTAAAGAATTTGCCATTCAGTAGGCAAAATAATTAGAGGTGCAGTAACCTTCAGCAGCAGGCGCCAGTGAACAAGTGACATGTGCCAGTATCCTGGATGACTCGTTGAACAGGACACCAACTAGGACACAATGCTGACAGATCTCACAGCAGGTAGAGACAACTTCCCAGAAGCCATGGATGTCAGTGAGGTATTGATGCTTATACTACCAGATCCCTCTGAAAGCCTTTGACAAAGTCCTAAGATACAACTGATGTGTTTATAGTGAATAGCAAGAAAAAATGGCCACCACTGCTGTGGCTTCTGTAGCATTCAGAAGTGCAACAGGTACCTCCAGCTCCTCTTGGAGGTTCTTGTTTTGTGGTCCTGCAAGGATCAGTCCTATCTTGGCATGAATTAAACACAGGTATTGGAATGTAGGACTAGTAGCAATCTTTTGGGTCATTTAGTCCTGTCATCCATTATCTCAGCAACCCTGTCATATAATCCTTTCCAAAATTAATGAACTTCATCTTAAAAGCAGCAAGTAATTTCTTCCTCACTGCCCTAGAGGCTATTCTGAAACCGCACTGCTCTGATGGTCAAATACCCAATTCAGGTCAAAAGGATGCCCTTCAGACAAGGAGATGCTGCAAAGAACTGAGGAAAATGCTATTTTCAATTCCCAGAAAAAAATACTCAGCTCCCATTCAACCCAGGGATCGGAAACATCAGTTCCATGACTCCTAATTGGCTTTGGATCAACAGATTGCAGCCCTGTCTGAATCCCTTCCTTTGCTCCAAACGAAGCTCAACGGAGAAGTTGGTTCTTTCTCTCACACAATGACTTAGTCCCGAGGTTTTCTTGCTGATTACTTCCAGGTTAGATGATCTTCTCTGGGTTTCTGTATGACCAAACAGGATAAGTTCTTCCGTGTATCCCCCACCTCTGTGGCCTCCAGCCCATGCAATAGTTATCGTGCTGGCTGAAGGCCATGATTTGAAATGCCAGAGCAATCAGGGGATTAGTCCCAGCTACATGAAAGCCTAAAATTTTTGATCTGTGAACTGCTGCATCTGTACTTCACAGCATAGCTCACAGTGGATGCAGACTGAGGGTAAATGTTTCAAAAAAGGGGATTTGGCTGCAAAACAACATTTTGGAGAAACACAAGATCTGATCACTTTTCAGAAACAGTCTCAAAGCTTTCTATCAGAAACAGATTTTCCATCATTTTTGTCACTACGATGACAGCCAAAAAAAACGTGATAGTAAGGATTCATCTCACCAACTTTATCTGTCTACAATATAAATGTTTCTTTGGGGGATACTTGCTCTGTAGTCTCATAGTCAACGGGGAGGAAAAGGTAATTCTAGAAGTATTCATGTCACCCCTTATGGATATCTGCATTAGGGTGATAGGAGCTGCACTCTGGAAGTAGGTGTTTCTGCCCACTGATCAGAAAACCTCCAGCTACTTGCTTGGGTACAAAATGCAGATTTCTGCTCTTTGCCAAGTGATAGCTACCCAGCTAGCAAAAGAAATTGAATGGCAAGGTCCTAATATCCATATATTCCAAGCAGAATTTCCACTTTCATAGGAAAGGGTGTTACAGGCTTCTACATTCTTTTATTGTTCTTTTACATTTTTTTAGTGTCTTTAAGACACTCAAATATTATACTGAGCAGTATTCTGCTGCCGTGGGGTAGATGAGATGGATGATGCTATTAGTACCTGCGGAGTTCTTTTTAATTTATACCAGCATAAAAAAAAAGAGGTGAATGGGGCCCTTCTTTTTCCTGCCTTAGTCATGGACTTTCTCTGTGACCTTGTGAAAACTGCTTTATCTGTTATTTTCCCAATATGTAAAGTTGGGACAATCACACTCACAGACTGCTATGAGGTCTAATTAGTAAGGGTAAAGCACCATGAAATCCTCTGATGGCAGATGCAGAGAATAACCAGCTTGGGATAAAGAGGATTAAGGGAGGTTGTGCTAAAATAACAAATACTTGAGAAATGATGCTCAGAGGGAAGTGAAATGGCACATATCTGCAGGTGAGGAAACGAGAATCAGCAGCCTCTAACTGTTGTCCTCAAACCCACTGACAGGTATTTGTCTACAAAGGAGTTTTGGACAGTGAAATGAATCCTTTAGAGGTCAGAAACAGATGAAATACTCTAGATTAGTAGGATTAACCTAGGAAAAACCCTTCCACATTTGTCCATCTGGAATCTGATTGACCTGATGGATCTTTTGCAGCTTTTTTCATCACCAGTTCTGAAAGATTCACTGATGTAATATTTTCAAGTGTAAAGTTTTCAAGTTTAATATTCACACCATGAGCAACAACACCATGTTCTGAACATGAAAAAGATACAGTTCTTAGACCATCTTTCTCTTTCAGCAGTTTACCAAATGCCATGCCCTTTTCCTGAAGTGAGCAGGGCTTTCTAAACTGCATCATGTGGCTGGTGGGTTGACCCTAGTTGGATGCCAGGTACTCACCAAAGCTGTTCTACCACTCTCCTCCTCAGCTGGACAGGGGAGAAAAAATATAATGAAAAGCTCATGGGTTGAATAGGTCAGGGAGATCACTCACCAGCTGCCATCTTTGGCAAACCAAATTTGACTGGGAGAGATTAACTGATCACCAATCAAATCAGAGTAGGGTAGTGAGAATGAAAACCAAATCGTAAGAACACCTTCTCCCTATCCCTCCCTTCTGAGGCTCAGCTTTACTCCTGATTTTCTCTACCTCCTCCCCTCCAGCAGCACAGGGGGACAGGGAGTGGGGGTTACAGTTCGTTCATCACTCATTGTCTCTGCTGCTTCTTCCTTCTCAGAGGAATCCTCACACTCTTCCCCTGCTCTGCTCTGGTGTCCTTCCCAGGAGAGACAGTCCTCCATCAACTTTTCCAGCATGAGTCATTCCCATGGGCTGCAGTTCTTCAGTAACTGCTGCACTGTGGGTCCTTTCCACAGGGTTCAGTCCTTCAGGAGCAGACTGCTCCAGTGTGTGTCCCCCACAAGGTCACAAGTCCTGCCAGCAACCTGCTCCAGTGTGAGCTTTCCTCTCTGTGGGTCCAGAGGTCCTGCTGGGAGCCTGTTCCAGTGTGAGCTTCCTATGGAGTCACAGCATCCTTCAGGTGCATCCACCTGCTCCAGCATGGGGTCCTTCACATGCTGCATGTGGGTATCTGCTGCACCACTGTGGACCTCCATGGGCGTCAAGGGGACAGGCTGCCTCACCATGGTCTTCACAATGGGGTGTCAGGGGAATCTCTGCTCCAGCATCTGGAGCACCTCCTCCCCCTCCTTCTTCACTGACCTTGGTGTCTGCAGGGCTGTTTCCTCTCACATAGCCAGTGGCCTTACTCTTTCATGAGCTTCAAACCAGACACCATCTTTTATACATCTCATAATGGTCAGGTTGCTGTTACCTTCTGACTATATTGCTTGTTTCCTCCTCAGGCATCACTGTGGACAAGTTTGGGCTGATTTACTTTGTGGATGGCACTATGATCAGGCGAATTGATCAGAATGGAATCATCTCAACAGTATTGGGTTCCAATGACTTGACATCTGCTCGGCCTCTGAGCTGTGACTCTGTCATGGACATTTCACAGGTAAGATGATGGTTTGGTTGGGTTCTACAGAATAGAAGCCTTCACCATCTCTGCATGTCTGTGTGCCTCATAGAATTGTTTTGGTTGAAAGAGACCTTTCAGAACATCAAGTCCAACTTTTAAACCAGAACTACCAGGTGCCCATTAACCCATGTCCCTCCACACCACATCTCCACAGCTTTGAAACACTTCCAGGGATGGGGACTCCACCACTCCCCCGGGCAGCCTGGGCCAGCCCTGGACAACCCTTTCCTTTAAGAAATTTTTCCTAATGGGCAACATTTTTCCAACACAAATTCTTGACACACCAGGACTCATTAGGCTCATTGCTCAAGAAACTAGTTGCTTTAAACTAAAATTACCAGACTACCACACTCATTTTAATAGGGCTCTATGCCATGCTCTGTTACAACAACTTAGCTAAGCATGGGGTTTTTTTCTTTGCTTCCCCCCATCCTAATTTGGCCCAACACAGTTTTAGACCTGAATCAAATTAACGTCTAGGAAATACTGATTGGAAGCTGTGGTGCCAAAATTAGCAACAGCAGGAAAACAAGACTTCTTGAATTGCATCAGATTGCAAATTGGTTGCAGCTACCATCATGCTGGGCTTTTAACTCCTGCTGTTTAAAGGTGGAGAGTTTTAAAAAAAAAAGGAAAAAAAAAAAGAAGAGAGAGAAAAAAATCTCAGTTTGATGGTTGCTTTACTTCTGGATGGTGCAGAAGAGAAATCTGTTAAAGCCCAGTACTTGATTTTGTGGGGCACTGGCCAACCTATCAAATTGTGCCAGTTTAGAGATAGAGTCCTTTGAAACCTTTGAGCCACTTGTTTGCCTGGCTACAGGAATGTTGCCCTCTCCTATGAAAATATAGATGGTAGCTGGAGGGCTAAGTGCTATTTTTCAGCCACAATAGGTGTCGATGGGGTTTCCTTTTTGTAACTACCTAGATAATTTCCGTGCTCCCATATGGAATCTGTTCTTCTTGGTTTTCCCTCTAATTTGAGAAGATTATTCTTGTTTCTTTACAACTGCTTCCCACTGTCCTCAATTTATGAACAAGCTGAAATTATGAGTTTAAAAGCTCTCACGCCTTCTATATAATCAAATTTTGCTGGTTAAAGGCCATCTTATAGCATGCTTCTCATCTTACAGGCTCAGATTTTTCCTTTATCTGAATTTCAGAGGCAATTACCACAAGACCATTGTGGATTTAGGCTTTAAAAATCATTTTCTCCCAGGTTATGTGGCTTGTACATATACCAATGTCATATTTAAGTATTTCCAAGATGAGCAAAAATGTATTAGCTGAAGACTCTTTCCTTTCACAAAATAACAGGAGCCTTTTTTAGATTAACCTGTGCTGTGGTGAGCAGATTAACTGGTGCTATTCTGGCCAAACACACCACAGACAAGTTTAGTTTTAAAAAAATAAAGAAAAAAAAAAAGAAAAAAAAAAAAAAAAAACATAAATCAAGCAAAGAAAAACTCAGCTTGGGAAGTAGCTTTTCATCATTTACTGTGGCTAGAAGGATCTTTTCTGTCAGGTCCCTGAGGCTTCCTGAAACATGAGGACATGAAATATTTAGCTGCCAATGTTGACAAGGAATGGTTTTTAAGGAATTGAAAATTCCCTTGTTGGTTCAGAATAAACTCTGCTCTTGATGCTAACTCAAGGCTGTGGAGCTTAAAGACCACTGGAAGGGCTGGAAGTATGCATTATTAAAGAGAAAACCACAGGCTATAATGTTTGACTACAGGAAGGGTTAAAATAGGCCAGGAGCTGAGAAAAGGAAGGAGATTTTGCAAACAGAGAGCCAGAGCAGACAGAGCTCAGCACACTGCTTAGACATGAAAATAAGCTTCACAAGCCCAGCCATTAGAATGTACAATGAGCTAAACACCTTGCATCTGATGCTCTTTAAAAAAAAAAAAAAAAAAAAAAGTTGAATCAGGTTTTAAACACGAATAGAAGCATCAAAAGTAAAGCATGGCTGTGGCAAAGATGTTCAGCATCAAAGATGCTTTAAAAATGGGAATCTCCTGTGTGCCTCTGGATCTTACCTGGTTTCTTCATGTTCTTCGTTTTAAATAAAATTAGTGAGAGATGGTTTGCTAGGCTTGACCCTGCTGGCATCTACACCTCAACCTTCCAATAGATGTCTACCTTATACCTGCAAAATATCCCCCCAGACTTAGTCACCTCAGACAAGTGACAAGAAGCAATAACTGGGATGGCTAGTGGGAAAGGAAGGTTTGAGAGACAGAAACAGAGATGCCCTGGAACTGCACAGCCTTCAGTGTGCCCAGATCCCAGAACTCTCCATCACAGCACATCCTTCTGTTGGGTACAGAGAAAAAAAACATGAGTTCAGGGAGAAAGGCACAAAGTGGCCAGCTTCTCTGTTCACCACTACATAAACAAGTCCATCTGCTCTAACCTAGAGTTCCCTGGCTGACTGAAAAGGAGTATACAGCCAGAACAGCTCCCTTTCTATCTGCTTGGAACTCTAATTAAAAGCCTGGCTGGAGATGACCAAGAGCATTCTTTGCATTTTTTTTTTGTTTCAAATCACCCTTCACACCTCTACTGTGGGGAAGATGCACCATTAGGAAAACATTTAAGCATTGGTTGGTTCCCATCAGCACAACATTGACTTTTTGTTTTTAATATATACACCAGAAGTAAAATTGAAAAATGCATACCTTACAGTTCTTTAGGGAAAAAAAAAATTAAATTACCCTGAGTTCTTTTGGTAAATGTTTCTTAGATTTGGCAACTCAGGGAGTAGCTTCATTTGAAAAGACAAAGTATTGCAGAAGTAGAGCTAGGAAGCGACCTTCTAGTTCTCACTCACTCGTGGTATCACCAGTCACTTTTTCAGTTTATTTGCATATATGGGTTATCAGTGTAGAACTGTGGTGTGTCACTATTACTTGAACCCATTCTCCCATTATTCTAAAAAAAAAATGTGAAAACCACTGTGGAGACACAAGTATTTTTCATTATTGAGGCAGCATCTTGAATACTGGGTTCAGTTTTGAGCCCCTCACTATAAGAAAGACATTAAGGTGCTGGAGCACATCTAAAGAAGGGTGACAAAGCTGGTGCAGGGTCTAGAGCACGAGTCTTATGAGGGGCAGCTGCGGGAATTGAGGTATTTTTAGCCTGGAGAAAAGGAGACTCAGGGGAGACCTTCTGGCTCTCTACAGCTACCTGACAAGAGGTTGTTTTGAGGTGGGGCTCAGTTAGGTAGGTTAGTGGTTGGACTCGATGATCTTAAAGGTCTTTTCCAACTGAATCAATTCTATAATTCTATGATATTATTCCGTGAGTTGAAATTGCCTAAATTTCTTGTGTATTGCTACTTTGCATTTTTGCAGCATCAAGCAGAAAATAAGTGATTATAAGTCAGATATACACACATGCTGATACAGCTGCTAGTTTTGGGTCTTTCCCTCCTTGTCATTTACCCAGAGGAACTCGGCCACTTCCCTGGGAATTCCTTTAGTAAAAGGATCATTTTTTTGTTTGACTGATTTCCTAACACTTCACACAACAAACTTCCCAGTCCTGGGTCTTTGCTATCCCATTCAAGCTCCATCAATTCCAAAAAGCATGGGACTGTTTAATGAGGGGAAATTCCCCTTGGATCTTTGGATCTTCTTGCTTAGTCCTGCATTCCCTAGATGCACCTTCCTACAGCCCCTGACACCTCACATCAAGGTGGAGATGCAGAGATAAGCCATGGTGCAGAGCAAGAGCTGAGGAGGGTGGTCACTACGAGTGTGACACGTGTCACATAAGCTGCTGTGGGTGTCCACATGTGTCTACCTCATGTGGCTGAGAGCTAAGCACCATCACTACCAGAGCTGCGTCCTCTGTGGCCACCATACCAAGCAGCATCTTCACTGTGATCAATTTATAGCAATCATAGTGAAAAAAAGGCCTTGCTATAATCATTTCCTTGTGCTGTTTTACCACGAAGGTTCGTCTGGAATGGCCCACGGACCTGGCCGTCAATCCAATGGATAACTCGCTGTACGTCCTCGACAATAACGTCGTGCTACAGATATCTGAGAACCACCAAGTGCGCATCGTGGCGGGGAGGCCCATGCATTGCCAGGTGCCAGGCATGGATCACTTTCTCCTTAGCAAGGTGGCCATTCACGCCACACTGGAGTCTGCCACCGCCTTGGCCGTCTCCCACAACGGGGTCCTCTACATCGCCGAGACCGACGAGAAGAAGATCAACCGCATCAGGCAGGTCACCACCAACGGGGAGATTTCACTCGTTGCCGGGGCACCCAGCAGCTGTGACTGCAAGAACGACGCCAACTGTGACTGCTTCTCGGGGGACGATGGGTACGCCAAGGACGCCAAGCTCAACGCGCCCTCCTCCCTGGCGGCGTGCGCGGACGGGGAGCTCTACGTCGCTGACCTGGGAAATATCCGCATCCGCTTCATCCGGAAAAACAAACCGTTCCTCAACACCCAAAACCTCTACGAGTTGTCCTCACCCATAGACCAGGAGCTCTACTTGTTTGACACCAGTGGTAAGCACCTTTACACGCAGAGCCTTACCACTGGAGATTATCTTTACAATTTTACTTATTCCGGAGATGGAGACATAACCCTGATCACTGACAATAATGGCAACTTAGTCAATATCCGAAGAGATTCCACGGGGATGCCCCTCTGGCTGGTGGTGCCTGATGGCCAAGTCTACTGGGTGACGATTGGTACCAACAGCGCACTCAAGAGCGTAACAACACAGGGGCATGAAGTGGCCATGATGACATACCATGGCAACTCTGGTCTCCTTGCCACTAAAAGCAACGAAAATGGTTGGACAACGTTTTATGAGTAAGTATGTTACGAATATTGTGCTGCTGACTTCATTCTGTGTTCTCTGAACCGTGAAAGGTGGATAGAATTTCATTCCTGGACAATGTCATTGTCCAAATGAAATGGCCAGAACAGAGATTATTAGATCTCATTCAAACACTTCACAGTAGAATTAAGTGCATTAGAGTTTGAATAAACTCCCTCTACCATTTCAAGAGCCAGACAGAGTTTCTGCTGAGTTTTCTAACTCAGCTAAGTAATTTGGGCACCTGGTTCTCCTTAGCTTTAGGTTTAGTGATTTAGGTTGTATGTCAGAGAATTTTGCTTGGCTTTGAAAGTGTTGGAAATGTGGAAGTTCCATCAGATCCTCTTTTTTTTTTTTTTTTTCCTGCAGCTTTTCACCTACTTCCTCTGCTGTAGTGTCCTTTTTTTGAGCTTGTTTGAAAAGGCTGATGTAGAATGACAACTGGCAATAATTAATGACAGCTTACTCAGAAAATGATGCTGTAATTAATGACTACTTAGTTTCTATTGTTGTAACTGGCCTCACTAGGCTTTAAAAAAAGTCTAAGATCTATTCAAGACCTTCCCTGCCCCAAAGAGCTTTTTGAGCAGGAGATAGACAGGATGCATTGAAAACAAAAAAAGAAACAGTGATTGGAAGGTTTTTGCTTCTTTTTTGCATTACTGTTCACAATTCCCTGCTCATAAATACCATGAAAACACCACATTTCTGCTATCAAACAGGAGGAAGACAGATAAGTGAATGAAGGACATCTAGAAGGGTGGTCTGAAAATTCATCCTGCTGTGGAGAACCCTTTCCTTTCTCTCTTCCTTAGTTTCATTTTTATTTTCAAGTCTAGCCTCTTTGAAATGCTCCTTTTAGTGCATAATTTCCCATATGGTTTGAACGGTCACATGGAATTTTTCAGCTACCATAATAGACCCATTGTGAGAGTCAAATTTGGCTAGACTAGACAGTCCTCAAGATTACAAAGAAAAATAAAAGGTAAAAAAAAAAGGAGACTCAGGAAAGGAAAGCTGGCTAAACCCACATACTCTTGTGTTAGGCATGCAGTTGCTTTGGTTCTTTCTTTAAAATGTTCCAGGCCCAGTTTCAAATTTCTTTGCTTAATGCTCAGTATTACTGCTTCTGCCTCAAAAAGAACTGTTGGAAATTCTGTGATGAATCTTTTGAAAGATTGTTTGCATTCCTTCAATGTTCTGCTTACAATTACTACAGCAATATTGCTCAGTGAATCAATGTTAATACCCTTCCAACTCTTACACTGAATTTCTTGAGGGAGGCTTTAGGGAGGAAAGATAGGGCGTTTTTCTCTACAGGAGTAGAAGCCTGCTATATTCTCAGGACCATTGTGCTAAATCAAGGAGGTATTTTCTTTTTTTGCAAAGAACCCAATAGTTCCTGTGCTTGAAAACAGATGTAGCCATGGACAGCGAAGCAAACTAAACATTACAGCTAATAATGGTCAGATTTATACCCCAAACATAATCTTTTATTTAGAAGTGTGACTGAAAATATAAGGGAGATAAAATGAGACAGAAGCTAAAATACAACTTACTCTGTGGATGTATTTATAACAGTGATCCATTATTTCCCTGTGATTCTCGCTATCCAACAGAATAGGGCGGTTGTGAAAGTCATCATTCTGGCCCCTTTATGCACTTCAGAAGAGTCATAAGAAAGCTTTTTAGAGTGAAATGGAAGACAGTATTCTCCAGTGGTTAGACTATGGAAGTCTTGACTAGAGCAAGTCAGCACGATATGATAGCACACCACCACTGAAAACAGAACTGGGAATGTGTCTTCAGAGATATTTCACCCAAACCTGTGATCAGTTATCTCTATTTAACTGTCCCTGACAGATTCTGATGCAACTTTATAGAACTACAGGGTAAAAGTCTCTATCTGAATTAGTTACCTCAGCCTCCCTTTATAGGCAATGAAGAGAACCAGGCACTTTCGAGGTGAGTTTCTAATGAGTTAAGTTGGGTCTTTCTCTCTGTAAAGACAGTCTAGAATGATTAGCTCAGGTAAAGATGCAGGTGTTTACACTGCAGATGTCTACAGTTTGGTCAGATGGATCCTATCAAAATCCAAAGAAGGGCAACGATGCAGTTGAAGGGTCTAGAGCACAAGTCTTAGGAGGAGCAGCTGAGAGAACTGGGGTTGTAGCCTGAAGAAAAGGAGGCTCAGTCTATCAGTCTGAATCCTCCTTGCTTGAATCAGAGACTGTCATTCTTCATCCTACCCTACCCTATCTGATTCTATCCTAACCTGTCCACTAGGGACTTGGAAAGCAGATTATCTGGTCTTCTTCCAGGTTGTGAAAAGTACATATCAAATGCCTCAAGATGTTGATCTGTGATAGCTCTCAAAAGGCAATCAGACATAGGGTACCAGCCAACGGGATTGTTCAGGTGGATTGGCAGGCATTAATTCTACCCACGTTTCGCATGCATAATCTGGGAAAAATATAAAATCATAACTGATAAAATGAGTAAATTAATAGATACTTAGATTCCTTGATAAAGTAGGTTTTATTTAAACAAAATACATTCTTGCACAGTCTATTGACAGGTTACACTTATAAACAGGCCACATCTAAATGACTGGGCTGAGCATTGACTCTAGAGCTCATAGTGAGAAAAGCATCAAGTCAATCAGTGTCATCCTCAGCACTGAACTTGGCAGTGCTGGATTAACACTTGGACTTGGTGATCTTAAAGGTCTTTTCCAACCTAAATGATTCTATGATTCTATAATTTCCTGGCAAATTTTTCTTAACTTGCCGTTTGTCTGGACAAACAAACTTAATTTATTTACCCCTCCCACTGTACTTGTAGTGGGTTGTAGAAAACTGGTTTTCTTTCTGATTTTTTTCATAATACAACATTGATGAGACTGATACTGTCAGTTTTGATGTTTGCAGTTTATGAAGGACAGTGAAAATTGAAGGCTGTGCAGAAAAACAAAAGTGCATTGTGGGGAGAAAGTGTCTTATGCTGGAGAACAAGGAAGACTTGATCTATTTATCTTAACATGAAGAAGACTTGGAATTGTCTAGATCACAGAATGCCAGCACAAACCTATCATCTACAGAGGGACACTTCATCTAGCAGAGAAAGGCTCAAGAAGGGTATGGGGCTGGAAAATAAAACTAGAGACATTCAAGTTGACAGGAAGGTATGGTTTTTGAAGGCTGAGATTACCTAACCAGCAGAGCAATGTGAAGCAATATTTTCTCCATTCCTTGGTATCTTAGGTCATGACTCTGGATGCCTTTCTTGGGGTAGATTTGCACCACACAGAAGATTTGTGTGACTGAAACAGAAATGGCAGGGATAAGAGAAAGAGAGGAGAGGAGAGGAGAGGAGAGGAGAGGAGAGGAGAGGAGAGGAGAGGAGGATGCATTGCCTCAGTACTGGAGGTCCGTCTCCAGGGCATACCAAGGACTGGAGCTGGGCTGGTAGATTGGCTCCTCATATCTGTATGGGAAGGAGCCAGGTGCTGTCTTCAGACGGTGGCAGACTTGCTTACAACACTTGCAGCTCTTCCTTTCACACATCCTACACCAAAGCCTGCTGTAACAATCCTGCTCTGCTGGGTTTAGCTCTGAGTAAGGTTCAGTATATAATGGTGTGCAGTTTCTCCTTCCTTTGAGAATAAAACTTCGCTCCCTGCAGTAATTAGCCAGTTCCCAAAGGCCTATCTAGGACTTCTATGAGGGTTTTAGCATGATGTAGACTTTCTCTGCTTCTGCAGAGGGCTTGACATTCGCTGTCAATTAACACAGTGCAGCTCAGCTTGTCCAGTAACTGGACTAAAGACTTGCCTTCCCGTTAAACCTGTGGCAGTGATAATCAGCAGCCAAGGAAGCTGATCTGCAAACTGTGCCAGGGGAAGAGCTTCTAGTTGTTCAACTCCTCAAGTCAAAGACAAAGGATGCTGTGTGACTGCTCACTTCTTTGTTGTTGCTGCTTTTTCACTTGACCTGAAAAAAAATTGCTACCAGCCTTTACAAAGTTTCTTATGGGTTGCTGTTTACTTCAGAATCCGGAAATTCTTACTAATGTATTTGTTTAAATCAAGAATGTGGCAATTATCTTGAGTGGCTCATTGAGATGGTATCACTGTATGTTAATTAAATTTCCCTCTGAGCCAAAGTCAAACCCTCTATGCATTATTTAGCCCAGATGAGGCTCTTTCACTTAGGTCCTTTGTGTGCCCAATTAGTTTTGAAGGTCACCTCCTCCCATACAGAATGAAACACTTACACATCACTGCAGCCAAGCCCAGAAATTCAAAACCTATTCATGGGCTGCCCAAGAAGTGGCTCACAGCTGCCTGGAGGACAAAGGGTCTGGTGGAGCCAGATCTGCAGATAGGCAGTAAAGGGAGCTTTGACCCAGAATGTAGGATGCTGTTTTACAGAGGACCAAACTTTGCCAAACCTCACACACTGTAATGGGTGGAAGGTAGGAGCCAGCTGGACTGAACATGCAGAAGGACCTTGGATGGCTTCCCAGTGACCCTCAGGACTCAGCAGAGACCCCCAGCACCAGCAGCGTTTAATGGCCCAGTGCCCTGGTCTGGCCAACTGGGGTACCAGAACTGGGCATCATGGTCAGCATCACCCCCATGGTGAAATGCAGACTCAGTCTGCCTTGTAGTCGGTGCAAAGGCTTTGTAATTTCTTCTTTCTTAGTCAGAAAAAGAGATAAATAACACTTATTACCTTTAGAGGAGCAGCCACCTCTTGACTCAGAGAAAAGCCAGCTTACTGCATTAATAACATCCCTTTATCTCCTGATGATATCTCAGGTCATACACTGAGTTTTATGGGATTTGGTGATGTCCTTGGTTTAAAATAGTTCAAATGAGGGTCTCTTTCTGCTCCTAGAGCAGACTGGAGTATAAGAAACACCTGTGGCTTTTGCTCTCCCTCCTCTTCCAGCAAGATTTTTTTGCCCCACAATTTCTTCATGTTAAAAT